CACTCAGGAGGATTTCCTTCACTAATTTTGTTACTGCAGCTTTCACTTGTGGTCAGCAGATGTTATTACAATGTTTTCACAGATTGATGTTAAACGAACAACAATGAGCTGCAGTGAGGGTGACAAAGAATGTATTTTGTTTGAACAACTAAAGAGAGGTGGGAGGTGGCAGACGCAGGAATGAAATGAGGTGTATGATCTATGAGCCAAAGTTTACATTAAATATCTAGTTGCTCTGACACTAGTTATTTATTAATTTACCAAACACATCATGAACAAGGTAAAAAGGCGAGTTTTGTTAAGGTGTTTCCAAAAGTTCATGGAAGTCTATTGGAACCCATTGCACTTGTGTTGACTCGCTAATCTCCGGTTAAACATTAGAGCAGGCCAAACGTCTGTCAACACTGGAGGCATTGTGTTCACAGAAAGAATGATTTTACACAGCTTTATGAGTACATTTTATCAGCACTACAATGGAAGGTAGACTTGCGTAAATTATCGCTCATCTCTCATCGGTTTGAAAAGTGTGTAGCAAGGAGTGTTAATAAATAGGGGGTGAAATATGATTGATAGATAGATACTTTATTGATCCCTGTAAGAGAAATGCAGATGTCCAGTAGCAGCAGAAACACATCTATCCAAACAAACTAAACAAATAAATAGATGATTCTAAAAGTACCTAACAATAGTAATAATAAAATGAAACAGCACGTCAGGTCACAGCAGCAGAGATAGAGCAGCCGCTTGGTTCGTTGGAGTAAATCGCTTAATGCTTTATTAGCCTTCTTCCAAAGAATTAGCATTCCTAGAAAAACGCAAGAAAAATATCCATTATAAAGCACAAAACAACAGCTGTTCCAGAGATACTTAGGACTTGCTACCGTCATAGTATACTAAGACGGCACTGTCCGGTTTCCGAAATGTGCTAAAAATAGTTCCAATGACTGCGCATGCGCGCATGTTTCGGACAAACTCTGTCCGACTCCGTTGAGTACTACTGTGTTCTCCACATAAGCGTGTGTATTTATTTGGGCTAAATCATTGAATCATGGTGACAACAAAACACTGCAGTTATGGTGCTTGTGGGAGCGATTTCAGATACTCTGAAAAGGACTATATGAAAGCAGTAACATTCAACCTGTTCGTTAAACCACACCATCGAACCAGACCAGGACCAGACCAGGACCAGACCAGGACAAGTGCAAGAGGTGGGTGCTTGTGGTCAGCAGAATTTCTCTCATGAAAATGTTAAAAAGGACATGTTTTTTCAAAACACTTCGCTGGACCAACTGTGGAGCCTCCAGATCCAGTCCTAGCTACGTTTAGCTGGGACTGGACCTGGACCGCTGTATCAGGTCCGTCTGAGCTCTTCTGAATGTAGTTAGCCCCATCAATCCATATTAGTATTGTTTGTCCTAATCCAGAATGTATACAATTCTCACACCTGAAGAAAGATGAGAGGGATTTTTTCAACTTCGTGACTATCGGAAAATAAGCACAGACAAAGCGCGTTGGGGTCCGCTTATTATACGGCTTTGTACCAACTGAACACACAAAATAAACTTCTGTCACTATTCATGCCAAAAGGTTTATTTAATGAGTGCAAAGAAAATAGTTCCCAAAGGTTTTAGTTCACCTACTTTAAAAAAGCGATCGCTTTAGTCGCATTAAAAAAGTATTTTTGTCATGAAAACCTTAACAGATAATTCTGAAAACCTCTGTGCACGTGTGTTGTATGAATATTATATTCTAGCATTAACATTTAAATATGTTGATTGATTGTCGTTTGCGTTTACTGAGTGTGGCTAGCTCCGATAGTTTCTCTCTCAGAGACAGTAGTGGTGTAGCCCGTTGTGACCCCATGGATCTATTATAATATCGGCTGACTGTAGTTAACTAAATGATCAAACTAATTACAAAATGGACAGTACAAAAAACAACTTGATAAATGGAAGTTAATCAGAGCAAAATAAACAAAGAAGGCGCTAACATTGCAATTTAAATGACTAGATAATGTTAGCATAATCCTCACCATTACCTTTTTATCAAATCAAACTTTCTACCAGTTACTGGAAGACCACGACATTCAAGCCAACGTTTTAATTGGTCTACACTATGATCCCTGATGGTTTGATGGTGGAATTTTGCCCCTGGTTTATCATTTTCGTCTAAAGTGACAAGAGGTATTTGATTCATTTTAGCAGTGTTTGTCCGAAACATGTGGGCGGGAGTTGACAGGCGGCGGGGGCGTGTCTTAGTGACGTCATTCAGATAGTTCGCTATTGTAAACACCAAGAAATGTATATATCGCATATACCCTTTATTTTCTTTTGTTTTAACCTATTTTAAAACATAACTGGATCTAAAGTGAATGTATTTCTAATCTGAACTACCAATACAGCAGCTCCGTGAACAGGTGGGAGGGGTTAACTCCTTTTTGCAGATTGAAACGATTGGATCTGAGTTTACCGTGACGTATGTAATGAACCCGATTGAGTGAGACATTTAGCCTAGCTTTAGCATTTAGCCTAGCTTTAGCATTTAGCCTAGCTTTAGCATTTAGCCTAGCTTTAGCATTTAGCCTAGCTTTAGCCATCTCCTTTGCCACTAACGGAGCCTGTGGGGAGTGGAGCCACATCTTTGCAGCAATGACATTTGCTAAACATTCCTCTTGCTCCGGCTTCAATTTCTTGATGTTTGGAGCTGAACCAGAACAGATTACTTCATTATCGCATTTGCCGCCAAACTACAACCAAACCAACGTCACGGACACCTCCCTACAACACCAGCCTCCCCCGCTCTCTGATTGGTCGGAGGGGATTCAATCGAGGAAACTGTAGCCACTAGGATCAGACCCAGACGAACATGTAGGAAATATTCATGGACCAGAGTTTACAGATAAATCCAGGCTACCACTACAGTATAGGCTTTGGTCTAACAGCGTGGCCACACAGAAATATGGGGTTAGGGTTAAATCATAATGTGTCTTGTGTTTTCCAGACCACCTGCTCATACATGTATAAAGCACTGCCGACATTTGTTCAACATGACTTCCCAGTTTGGAAACTATACACACATTCCTTTGGAATGTACTTGGCAAAGATAACAAAGCTATCATAAAGCACAGTATGAATCTGTGTTTCTGCTAAAATAATGGATTTTGTTGAAAGAACATTGAGTATAGCCAACCTTTCTCATGCATCATAACAGTTCCAATATGACATGCATTAATGTGGATCATAAACGTTTGGGACTGATCCAGGAATTAGTGAAACCCACAGCTTACAACTATGGAGAAACTGCTGTAGAAAGGTTGAAACAAAAATAGCAGCGTTGCCACTGTACAGCAGCATGGCTAAACAGGATGACTATGATAGTTTTTTTTATGAAAAATAAAAATAAACATAAATAGCTTAAAGCAGGCATGTCCAAACTATGGCCTACGGACCAATTGTGGCCCTCTGTGTCCTGTTATGTGGCTATTGACCTTGCTTACCCAAAGCAGCCATTGAGATCTGAAACACAAGTTCACCGTGTCATCCAGCCAACTTCAGCCCCTCCAGAATAAGCCTGTTGTAAAGCGCAGAACCTCAGGAATCCATTTGTTTGTATATAGTGACGTTTGTTCTTGATTATGTTTTGGAAAAAGCCCATCTATAGTGCTATCATTGCCAGTGAGTCAAGATCTATCATTCAGCCAACATCAACATCAGCCAATGGAACAAAATCTGAACTCTGAACATTGTAAAGCTCAAGGGTGACCTTGGTCTGAAAAAATGCGCTTTATGAATAAAAATTACGTACATTATTATTATATACTGTTTTCATAGGAAATGACGACTTATGACGGTCAGAATGTCATAATTCAAAAGCATAACAAGGCAACAATTATAATGCAAAGGAAAATTTTAATAAATCCTCAAAGTGCAAACTCTGTTCTTAGTAAAAATATAGAAATTTAAATAAAGCAGTTAGTTTCTTGACCTAAAATGCCCTGTGTGTTTTTGTCGTCCTCTGCATACCGAGCATATGTATGAAGCAGCAGTGTGATGGTGTGCTAATAACCCCGTGTGTTCATAACAGAACCACGAGGCCGAGACTGAAAAACACCGGCCTTGACCCCAAAGTTGCTCCCATTCCTCCGTGCATCAGCGCCTGTTTTCCTTCTCTTATGTAATGTTATCGCGGCTTTGCTTGAACATACTGTAGTCTGAAAATAAGCAACAGAAAACACAGAATTCCGAAGTCGTACCCCACTGGCTTTATTTTGTAATACGCCAATATCATCGCAGTGCAAACACTGTATAAAATATCATCTTTAACAAAATGTACATTCACATAAACATCTTCATAAATACATCTTCAACAAAAGAACTGTTCATTCATAATATATCTCTGAAAAAGACATAGTACAATGATAGCTAGTAGTACCCACATATATCAATTGAAACCCGTATTATACAGTAAGAAAATATTAAATTTACAGGAAAAATATTGTACATAATCCTTTCCATCAATGATACTGACTTTTTAAAGCAAAGGTATAAAAATCCTCATTTAAACCTCTTGGAAACTCAAAGAAAGCGCTTGAGCTTTTGTGACAAGACAATATTTAAATGTAAGTTAATTTTGTCAAACCACCAAATAACTATATCCAAAATAAACACACCACTGTTTTTTTTTCTTTAAAAAACCAGCAGATCTGAAATACCTTGAACAGCAAAATATAAATTACAAGCATCCAACAAAAGAAAATCCACAAGTGCTGTAGTCACACGTTCAGTAGTGCTACAGCTCATCACAATAAACTTGATATGTTTATGAAAATAGGTTGGCACATTTGAAAAACAGCTTTACCTGTTGACCCCAACAGGGAGAAAGGGAGAGGACGAGTCCCACCCCCGGCCTGATGTCGATCTGTCCTGAAATGTCCTCACACCACACGGAGCTCATTCAAAACACACTTAAAAGCACCTGACATTAGAAGGACTGCTACCGCCATGCATGAGAAGTACAAGAGAAGAGCCACTATCACTGCTGGAGCTCATCAAAGCATGCATGTACGCGCCCAGGTCCAGGCCCAGGTCCAGGCCCAGGTCCAGGCCCAGGTCCAGGCCCAGGTCCAGGCCCAGGCACAGACTCAGGTCCAGGCCCAGGTCCAGGTCCAGGCACAGGCCCAGCCCCAGGCCCAGCTCCAGGCCACGAACGCTGGACTGATTAGAGGAGAGCTGCAGCCTGTGGTTAGCTCCAGGCTCTATGTAAAGTCAATCTTCTGCGTTGATCGAGGAAGTCAGATGCAGAGGTTTGGGTGTCTCCCCAAATACAGCAGTATTCTTATGTACCAAAGCAGCTTTTGGAATTGATTCATAAAAATAGTAGTATAATAGTCATCATACAAAATATTCTCAATAATAAACAAGCACGCTGAAAATGTCTTTTAAAATAGAACATCAGAAGGAATCACACTCAATCGCACAATACAGAAAATAAGGTTTAAGTCATGCTTCAGATCCAGAGATACAGATTGTGTGGTTAACTATGGCTACATACACTATCAGGTCAAAAGAGGGTCCAGCTGGCTACAGCATGCAAGTGGGGATCAGGCTGAAGAGACAAACCAAGTTATTGCTACACTTTGACAAGGAAGAATCTGGAAGTCAAGCATCACAGGGAAACACACAGCAAACATGACCGTAATGCAGCAGTGGCATCATGCACTTTAAAACACTGAGCACTGGTTCAGGGAGTCTGGGTTCACCTCATGTGCCATTTGAGGGTAAAGGTAAAGGGGCATGTGCCTCAAAGAAACCATGTCATCAAACAGGCAACGACAACGGCAATGCCTTTTGTGTTTGGCAAGTTTTACTACTAACTGCCAATTCCTCAAACATTTGGCTTTGTCCCTTTATATAAATATCTCTGATCTGACAACAAAGCTCCAGTAACTTCTGTGCTAATTGGTCTTCAGTTAATCAATAAACAACCTGAAAGGCAACATAAAATGGCATTGTGAGGAGTGGTTGCTAAGGCAACAACACTGATTTGGTTTAATACTGAGAAAGGGTAGGTTAAAGTGATTAAAGGACTTTTCATTAGTGGAGGTTTGTGTGCTACACAATCAATTGTGCATTATTTAGAGAATTAGTTTCTTAGTGTTGGATGCAGTCTGAATTCCTGGAGATGTCCTTGGCCTTTGATTGGTTACAGAGAAACGTGGCTAAAGCATCCTGTATCCTGTCCAGGGTAAAGCAACAAACTCATGTCCACACCTGCAGAAGTCGAAGGCCTAATACTTGTTCCTGGCCGCGGCGTGTCTGTGCAGCAGAGACAGGTGCAGGGCGTCTCAGACCACGGCCACAGGGACAGAGGGCAGGTACCTGGTGGTGCTGGTGGAGGCAGTGGGCTTGATGCTGCCAGGGCTTGCATTCCTCATGGTGGCGTATGTGGTGATGGTGGGGGCGGGGCTTAACCTGGTGCACACACCGCCGTGGGTGAAGGTGCTGGCTCTCCGCTGTGAGTTTGTTTGCTGCTGATGTGAGTGAACTGGCCTGCTGCCCAGTCGCCGCGCTTTCAGAAAGTATGTGAGCATCTGTCCCTTTCCCTTCACACTGACCTGACCCCTGCACTCAAAGTCATAGAGGTCTGTGATGAGGCGATGGACATCCTCGGTCACCTGGAAGCACACACATCATAGTCATACAAGAACGCACAATTCACAGAAGATCATATTCTATAGTGAAAAGAGTGTTTCTTAAGAGGCTAGTTAGGTTCAATTTTACATGCTTAAAAGTGAACTTGATAATGATACTAATAATAATTTTAAATACATTAAAAGCGCCTTTCAAAACACCCAAGGACACTGTACAAACATGGTTAAAACAGGGTGCAATTTATAAACATTAGCATTATCAGAAACAGAAAACAACAGGACTGGACAAAGGTGTTGGGGAAAGAAAGTCTGAAAAGGTTAGTTTTGAGTCTGGGTTTAACCTGGGGAAGAACGGCGGTATTGCGTAGGTCAGGGGGGAGTGAGTTCCAGAGCTGGGGAGCAGAGCAGCTGAATGGTGATGAGGAAGAGAGAGGGGACAGAGAACTGGAGAGACGAAGAGGAGCAGAGGGTACTAGAGGGTGTGGTGGTGTGAAGAAGGTGTGGAGCCAGGTTATAATAGGGCTGGAAAGTCTCGTCCCAGAAGCACTTCCGGTTCATTGCTCGGATACAAACAAACCGTCAGCTGTTTGAAGAGGCGGTTTAAGTGAATGGTGCATAATGCTCTGCTTTGTTTTTGGCTGTTATCATCACAGTTTACGCGACACATGCTCATTCTTTAGGTTTCCCAAAGACCAACTGAAGCTGTGGGAAAAGCTATGCAGTTCTGATAAAATATTTTGTCTGATTTCAGAGACATTTAACTTGAACATGTATTCAAGCTAACTTGTAGCTAATGCTAACCTGTAATAGTGCGCGGCCAAGCCTTTAATTGTGGCTTGTATTTTAAGATAAGAAACTTTATTGATGTCACACAGGATAAATATTGTCTCTCAAATATTTATCTATTTGAGAGATAAAGGAGGAACATATTAACACGTATTAAATAACATTTAACAAATGTTCAAATATAACAGAAAAAGGGACAATCATTCGTATTAAATGAATAGGTAGCCCAACTACATCATGTTATTTTTGACAGCACAGCAAAAAGGAAAAAGGCCCAATGTGAAGCTGCAGTGAGTGTGAAGTGGAGAATGAGCTGATGAACAGATAGAAAACTGATCATTCATATACATTGGCTTATAACCAAAGCAGCAAAGATAGCTGTAAGGGACAACATAAATTTTTTTTGCATAGGAATAGTGTTTCTATATTTTCTTTCTGATGCGTGATAGTGGATTAAAATACAATGACTTTGAACCATAGACTGTATGTTTGAACACGGCCCTGTGCCTTTCTCATCTCCCCGTCATATAAACGTCAGCACATGGCCAGTTCACAGCTAATTCCGACCGCTCACTCAGTTTTTCTGTCCCAGAGACGAAATGTGTCCAAAATAACACAGGAAAGTCCATTAACGAGGAAGAAGTCGGCGATCTCCGCACCATACAAATGCAGCCAGCGAAAGTTCAATTTGGTAGACGTCAGCCAAAGGTAACCCCTCCAGGCCGGTTCTCATCCCCAGCCTATCGCGCTGCAAACGCCCCTTCCAATCACCGGTCCGGCCAGGCAAGCCGCTTAAAAGCGGAGAAACTCCCACTCTCTGCCTTCTCGAAGCTTGCAACCACCGCCTCCCCTCCTCCTCCTCTTCACCCTGCCTTCAATCCGCCTTCAATCTGCTTCCCGCTGCCAAATGCCGCCACCAGTGCCTAGGTCCCGGGGGATTGGCGCGCTCCATCGCAGAGCCCCTCCGATCTGAAGGCCTAGGGCGCCAAACCTCCTCCCAATAAAATACTCAAAAGCTTCTTGTTCCACGTCTCTCCAAATTGAACTGGCACGTGTGGTGTGTTTGTATCCACGGGTGGAAATCTCGCAAAATCTCGCACTTCCGCTTTCCAGCCCTATGTAGCGCACTTCGAGGCTTGAAACCTCTCACAAAGTGACATTGTAGTGGACTAATACAATGTCACTTGTATTAGTGACATTGTATTAGTCACTAATACAAGTGTGTCCTCAAAAAACCCCGAGGATACAATTCCTTGCCAAAGAACCAAGCATAGTCAGCCTTTGGTTGGTCGGTCTATCTGGTGTAAGATATACCAAATAGATGAGCTCTAGAGAATTATACAATTTTGTATATGAATCTAATAAGCAAGAACTATTTGAGTGTGTGTGTGTGTGTGGCCAAGCAGCCCAGTCTGAACATCCCAGGGATGTTACCGTGGTAACTGTGGCAATGATTTCTCTAATTACACCAAACTCATCTCATGTAATTAAGATGACTATGGGATGTTTCGGGTCAGTACAGTTAGACAAAATGCTAGTGTAACTCTTTTCTACAGCATGCACACTTCAGGGAGCTCCCCCTGCAGGAACGCATACTTCCTACAGACACTGAAGTGATTTACATGAGTTATACAAACAACAAGACAGATTTGTTACCTGTATCTTTCCTTGTACTCCTGTGCTGTCCATCCTGCTGGCCACATTGACTGTGTTTCCCCAGATGTCATACTGGGGTCTCCTGGCTCCGATCACCCCGGCCACCACGGGACCTACATTGATACCTACAAATAAAGAATAGGCCTTTAAATATAACCTGGGCGCCGCTGTCCTGCACACTAAATTCATGTGGGCTACCCAGAAAAATGTCCCATAGAACTCAATGTAAATTAAAACAGCTCGACCTCAGCTGACAGAGAACCTGACAGAGAACCTATACAGATCTCACATAGGTCAGATTTTGTGGGGATTTTAGTGTCCCTTGTCATTCTAAACTTTTTTTCCGTGTTAAATCCTTCTGTTTCCTATAAATCCACACTTTACTGCAACACACTCTGCTCTGATCAGCAGCTATAACTGGTCAGAATTTTATTTTTTATGTTCTTAATATTTATTGTGATCTAAATGTATGTTTTTAATGCCCTGTATCTTTTTTCAAGTGTATATAGATTTGAATGTCCATGATTTATGCTTGATGTGATATGGGTTGTTAGGTGTTTTGTGTTGCCTTGTGCAGGAAAGGCGCTCAACAAATAAAAGTTGATTGATGCTGTCAGACTGTACAATGAGAACTGCTGAGTCTGTACACGTGTCATTCACCTGTTCTAATAATCCACCAGTCACTTTACTAGTCACTAGTCACTTTGCCTGCTGCTATTATTACTACATTATTACCTTTCCATTCATCTGATCATTCTGTTCTGATATATCACTAGTCCCCTCACCTGCTGCTATTATTACTATTGTTTATTCAGGTAACATCTGTAAATACCTCCTGATGCTGTCTGTATACTCCACAAGCGACTTATCCTTGAACCTTGAACCAAGTGCAATTAAAGCTCCAGAGTATTATTTTAGTATTATCTATTATTTCAGATGAATAGATCCTGTCTGACGTGTGCAAGCCGAGTGCTCATATTTCCTCTTTTCCTCTCTGTGGGACGAATAGGTTTATCTCCATCCATTCATCCATCCATTTTCTTCCCCTTAATCCATTTCTGGGCCGGGGGGGTGGCCAGAGATGCCACCCAGTACACAGAGCACCAGCCCCTCACTGATCCTCCTGCAGGTGGTGAGTCCACAGGAGCTGAGATCTTTCAGTGGGAGCTTCAGGCAAAGTTGGGTTAAGTGTCTTGCCCAAGGACACAACGACACCAGTCATCAGTGGGAGTCGTGAAGTAGGTCTTACCCACGACCTTCAGGCTCAAGGCCAATGCTCTACCAACTGAGCTACTGTCGCCCCGCTAGGTTGATCTCATCTTATCTTATTGGCAGAGGGCCTTACTGTGAGTAAATCCATATATCTATAAAACGTGAATCTAATAAAAACGGAGGGGAAGTGCGTCTAAATACTCAGGCAGAGCGCAGTGGGTGGCGACAGGATGGCACTGTGTACACCGCACAGTGTTGTGACTGTCCAGGGTTCTTCAGTCACAGGCCTCCGACAGGATACTCACACAATGGAGCGCGAAGGCTCAGGTCTCGCTGTGACGATCTTCCTCCACATGCTTGGCTCTTTTTCTGCATTTCCTTTAAACTTTCCCGGCACTGAGCATTATGGGGCCTTGCAATTGGCCACTTAAAATAACCCAAAGAGCAGCATCAGGAAGGTGCTTAACTTACCCACTCTCAGAACAAAATCATTGTACGATTGGTAGTTAATGGCATCCAGGACATCAAACATCTCAATGGCAAAATCAGACACCGTGCATAAATGAGAGGTGATGGACTTCTTGGCCTGAAATGAAGAAAAAATAATAAGTTAATACAAAAAGTTATAATGGGAAGCTGAAGTATGGACAGTTTATTTAAATCTCATTTCCTTCTCCACACATATTTTGGATAAAGTGATGTATTGACCTGTATCTTTTATTGTTGACAAAACATATCCAATATTGTATTTTTCCCACAGTTATTACGCATAGACCTCTGCTCCATGCATAATAACTGTACGTTTGTGATGGCCGAACGTATCTTGTAACGCGCTGGCACATAGAAATTAAAAACTAGTTCACATTTTGTTGATATAACTTAACAAAATGTAAAAGGATTCAACCAACAAGAGAAATGATCTTAAAAATCAAGGAAAGGCATCATTATATATCAAGGTATAATACATGCAGCACTATATATAATGAAATGATATCTTCTGAAATAGTCTTTTTGATTAAAACTCATTCTTCATAGATTGTTTTCACACACATTTCGAAAGGATTCATTTGAAAACAAAGCCAAAGAAACAAATGTGAGCTGAATCCGTCAATGCAACAGTGTTGGTAATCCTACAGCTTTGAAAATGTCATTGGCACAAAATACTGAGAAACACAAAGGCAGCGTGCATTCTGGGAAGGAGCTGAACTCTCTACAGCTCTAAATAAGTTTACCTTCGAGGCAGTTGTAGGAACCAGCCCTACAGCGGCCATGTAAGTACTGCCAATGGTTTTGATCTTCTCAATGTCTCTGTAGCACTCCTTGTCCATTAGCTAGAAAGAGAGCAGAAAGAACAATTACAGAAACAGCTATGACAAAAAAATTACAAAACAATATGAACGTAGCCATGCAAAAGAACGTCATTTCACCTGGGAAAGAGCAAAAACTAATGTAATGGCTGCTCAGTGGCAAAATGTCATAGTGGTGTATTTACATCTATTACAGGACTGAGACAGGAGCTTTTAGACAGAAGGGGCGGAGTTACATGTTTGTCCCAGAAGTTCTTGATAGCAGCATGGATAGATCTAAAAACAACTGCCTTTTACTAGAGAACACAACATTGAGGGAATGTCGTAACATGCAGCCAGCGGAAATTCAGTCTGGTGGGCCACCTGCTGCAACCCATCAAAGCTGGCCCCTTTCACCCTCGGCCAATCACGCAGCGCTACCAACCCACGCCAATTAAGCAGCTTTTTAATCTTTTGCCACCACCAGTACCTAGGGCACCAGGAGCTAGGTCCCGGGAGATTATAAGCGGCACACAAAGACAAAGTTCTGCAGCCAGGCTTAGGGCCAAACAAACAAATGAATAAATGATGTAATGCTATTTTGTGTACGTGCAGTTTTTCCAGATTAAAAGGAAAGCTCAAAAAAGTTGTTTCACCATAGTAGTCTCCTTTAAAACAAAACACGCAAAGGTTTTTCAAGAGAATTCTCACTTTCCATGAGATATTCCATAAACCACAGAATTTAAGTTAAGTTAATTTAGAATAATAAATAGGGGTGGGAGTTAAAAAGTCTTCACTTCTTCCCATTCCTTTTCGAGCTGGATATTTGTTAATAAAACAAAAGATACTGTATATTATTATGTATTGTTTGTTTTTCTATTTTGTTGTTGTTATTGTAGTTTGTCCTGGCTCAAAATAAAGTATTGACAGAGCACCACATTTGCTACAGCCGAACAAATATGTGATCTTAGTTTTGCAAATGACACCACCGAGTTTCCAGAAGTTACATGTGGTTTGAAAGAACATCAAAATAATATACTGTTTTTGCGTTAGCTGTTGCTGATTATAGATTGATCCAACCCAAGAAGCATCTGTAAGTCATTTCTCTTTGCGACTAACTTTCCCAACCACAGCCATTATTATACAACCTCAATAAACACCGCGCTGACTCATGCCTATGGCTTTATCTTCATCATCTTCAGATTTATGTTTCCTGGAGAGCCACTAAGTACCCACCTCGTCGAAGTCCGCGATGATCTCATTGAGGAGCCTCAGACACTCCACTCCCATGTTGTTCCCGTCCAACTCGATGTAGAAGTCGTTAAAGTTTGCGATGGAGGCGAACAGGACTCCGACCTGTGCGTAGGACTGGTAGTACAGGTCCTGAGCCACAAACAAGGACAAGGAAGTGGAGAGAATATTCAGAAAAATTAAAGTTTAAAATCGACGCAGCAAAGCAAAAATAACAAACAATGAAAATCAGAGCATTTATGGACATTCACTAATAACCCTATGGACCAAAGACTCAGGGCTTTATTGTTGTATTATAATTATTTTCTAATCTGCTCTTGGCCTTCAATTCTTGGCGGCTGTGATTTAGGGCGATATAAAAATGAATTTATTTGTTTTACTTAAAGCAGGGGATGGCCATACTTTACTCCTGGGTTCTACATGTTGATAGTGGCATGTTGAGGAAGGGCAGAGGCGTTTTCCTTTTCACATTTATATCATTTGGAAAAACATCTGGTTAAATAACATGTTTTAAGTTGGAATTCCATATTTAACAGTGTCAGTATCTCACACTCCTAAGATTCAGATTCATTTGGGAATCATTTTGCAAAAGTCTCTACAGTGCACCAGACAGGTACATAAAATAAAATAAAGATTATAAGTACAAGAATAAAACAATAAAAGTCACTGAAATTGATCAAACTAAAACAGTTTCAATACAAGTGCAAGATTATTAAAGTGCAATGTTTAACCTTAAACTGATAAAAGTTTGTGGAAAGAAGCTGTTGGCAAAACTAGATGTCCTGCTGGTCTCTCTCTGGTCTCTTTCTGTTCTCTCTCTGGTCTCTCTCTCTGGTCTCTCTCTCTGGTCTTTCTCTCTGGTCTTTCTCTCTGGTCTCTCTCTGGTCTCTCTCTGGTCTCTCTCTCTGGTCTCTCTCTGGACTCTCTCTGGTCTCTTTCTGTTCTCTCTCTGGTCTCTCTCTCTGGTCTCTTTCTGTTCTCTCTCTCTGGTCTCTCTCTCTGGTCTCTTTCTGTTCTCTCTCTGGTCTCTTTCTGTTCTCTCTCTGGTCTTTCTCTCTGGTCTCTCTCTGGTCTCTCTCTCTGGTCTCTCTCTCTGGTCTCTTTCTGTTCTCTCTCTCTGGTCTTTCTCTCTGGTCTCTCTCTCTAGTCTCTCTCTGGTCTTTCTCTCTGGTCTCTCTCTGGTCTCTCTCTCTGGTCTCTCTCTCTGGTCTCTGGTCTCTCTCTGGTCTCTCTCTGGTCTTTCTCTCTGGTCTCTCTCTCTAGTCTCTCTCTCTAGTCTCTCTCTGGTCTCTCTCTGGTCTTTCTCTGGTCTTTCTCTCTGGTCTCTCTCTCTGGTCTTTCTCTCTGGGCTTTCTCTCTGGTCTTTCTCTCTGGTCTCTCTCTCTGGTCTCTCTCTGGTCTCCTTTCTTTGGCTGTGATGTCACCAAACAGTCACAGAACCAACAAGCAAACATTCAATGCCGCAGCGATAAAAGTTATGCAGAATCTTAGAGTTTGTGGTAAATTCTCTACAGTAAGTTTCCGCAGAAAGTACTGACGCTAACGAGCTTTCCTAACGACCTGGTTTTTATGTGCAAATTTAGATCATTTGATTGTTCTTTCAAATGTTGAAAGATACTGACTGAAGGATATGCCATCTCTACAGCGCAGTGGATTTTCAGACGGATAATGACATTCAAAGCATATAACACACACAATCATATTTCTGTATTTGTTTTGAGTCTTGAGGATTCCTGGAAAGTCTTTCACAAAAGCACGGAAGTCAAATATAATTGCAGGTTTCCACACCATTGTTAAAACCACCATTGACATTGATTCTTGGTGAGCAACTTTGTCGGCAGAAAACACTGTGACCCATATATTAGTGGTGCTCTTGTGATGTTCTGTGAGCAGTAACTCTCACAGCAACGGTTTCATACAATGGCTTTGGACAAACTGTTAGCGACAACCGAAAAGAACAAATACTGTATCTCATGTCACAGCATTGTATTGATTTTCTCATGTCTTGTTTTGTGAAAAAAGTCTTGTTTTCATCTCTTTAATTTTTTTGGGTTTGAATCCCGGTCGGAACAGGGCCTTTCTGAGTGGAGTTTACATGTTCTCCCCGTGTCTGCATAGGTTTCCTCCGGGTGCTCCGGTTTCCCCTACCACTAAAAACATGCACAATAGGTCTGAATGTGAATGAGAGAGTGAATGGATGGTGTTGATTGAGGCTGATGGTCCAGTGTGTTCGGCGACTCGCTTCTGTCATCACCGTGTGTGGAATGATTGGAACAATATCTGAACTCTGAACATTGTAAAGTGCTTTGGGTGACCTTGGTCTGTAAAATGCGCTATATAAATAAACATTACTTACTTACTTACTTATATTCAATTTCTTTTTAAATTTATTGCAGAAGACATAAAACAAGAGAAGACATTAAAAACAAGACAAAAAAACGGATAAAATTAAAGATAAAATAAAACTAAATGGACAAAATCAAAAGCCTTAAAAAAAAGAATCAAATGCATGAAACGGACAGAATCAAAGACTTAAAACAGAACAGGATTCAAACAGTATAATCAGTTGTCTTGTTTTCCACTCCTAACAAGTTGGTCAAATTTAAAAGACTGAGACATGTTCCCAAGTTTTTCAGGCTGGGGCCCCAAAATAAACAAAACCAGCTTGTGACCCCCACTTTCATTTTCAAATCACTGAAAGTAGTAATAATTTGAAACATAAAACATGCTACATTAATTATGTATTGTTGTCGATAATGTTGATAATTTCAGTTTTGCGTCTAATTCCACTAAGAATACATGTGTCTCAAAGAATATACTGTATATTAGACATAATGTAGTGCCACCTGGTGTCACTCAACCCCCATAGTGGTCTTGACCCCCATTTTGGAAACCACTGCTGTAGAGGCAGCCAATAACATCTTTTTCCATCCATCCATTTTCTTCCCCTTAATCCATTTCTGGGTCGAGGGGGTGGCAGTCAGAGCTGCACCCAGTACACTTAGCACCTGCCAATAACATATTTTTCATAGTTTTTATTTTGTACCCTAACCCTCAGGTAAATAATCAACAATATGGCTGAATATACCATAACAAAGCCAGTAAGCCTGTTTGTCGCTTCTGTAAACCCAAATATTACACAAACAAATTGATATAAAAAAGGCCGTAAAAGAATGCATCAAAATCCTGAAGAATTTCTTCAGTGTTTTGTTCTGAATATAGAGCAGGCTGAACTTTAGCCCAGAGGAAGGAGAGGAAGCCTTCTAAACACAGAGGCTCAGAGGATCAGCCGTGCACCGGACACACTGGACGGACTTCCTGCTCTCCAAAGAACCTGAGTCAAGTATTTGCTGCTTCTTAACAAATAAAACAAAACATAACTATTGTGTTTTACTTATCTGGAATATCAGCCACTTTTTTGTGAAAATTATGGAATCTCTGCCAATATTTTACATTAATTTCTGTATCAACTCTCTGAGGGCCCAATTCAATTTGAATGACAGGACAAATCTGATTTTTGGAGATAATCATCACATCACAATCTTGACTATTTCTTTGACCGAGAGACCTTCACAGGCAATGCATTCTGGGATGTTGCAGATTTGCAACATTGGCCCGCTGTGGTAAATAGTGCTTACCTGGAAAAAATCCAGAGGAGATATAATCTACTAATTGCATGTTCTGTATCTATTTATTCATCTTTCATTTTATGCAGTTTTGGTTTCAAATTATTAGAGGTTGGTCGTGATTGAAATTGAGGCTTAGAAAATCTGTTCAAACATTTTGGAAGTGAGACAGCTCTGTCCTCTGGTGAGCAGGTGGAGAGCTCTAAACTACTCCACTGGATATGGAGTAGTTTGGTAATAAGAAAATAAGTTGCAAATCTGCAACGCCCGCCTGGAGAGTGGGAACTGCACATACTTGTGAAGGAACTTTTTCAAACTACATGAAAACTGAACAAAGAATTGTAAACATCAGCGGTAAGTGACCCATATATAAACACAACCAAAATTCACAATCAGATCCTTTGCTAAAATTTTGTATTAAAGTTAATGGTTACTTACCGGTTTTACTGCGATCACATTTTGTCGCATTAAAACAGTATTTTTGTCATGAAAATTTTACAAATAATTCATATGTATTAAGAATGTATATGTATAACAAGGGTTTGAGATGTGCCTGATGGGGAAAACCAAACAATGTCTGTTTTTGTTTTTGTCTTTGCCATTTTGTCACAGTTGCCATTGATGTAGTGTATGTGCATAGGGTCTTATGTAACGTTAGTTTTGCAGCTGTTTGGCAGAGTAAGCGGATTTCAAGGGCCATAATAAATAAATCAGTCATTAAGAAACATCTAAAAGACAATGCTAGCAGTAACAGTCTGCCAAGCTGACTGTTGTGGCTTGAAATACGGCATAATGTGTGTAATTCTAGGATGTGACAGTTCTGTGGAAAGGCATAAACGTTTTTTATTGAGATTGTAAATGACAGTGATTTTCATTCCAGCCGCTGCCTGTTACAACATCAGGTCACGAGCAGGGATTGGTTTTTGAAGGTGAAAAGGAAACACTTAAAAAGGTTTTCTCCCAGGCCATCAAATGTTCTCAGCACTGTCAATACCCACGAGTCATGGACTATACTTATGCCCTTATTCCTAAGCAACGATGTGAACACAACTAGGAAAAACACACATAAACAACTTCTGCAACACTTTCAACAAAAGGGGGCATCTCTCAACCTGCCTCAGTGTCGTATTTGCATAATAAATGTAAGTAAACAAAACTACTCTCCCCACATCAACTCAGTGGTGTTAAAACTTGAGAATAGAAAACTCCTACATTTGACAAATGAATACGGACAAAAAAGTGTGTTAATATACATAATATCCAAAATATGGGCAAATCAATGATATCTCTGACTGATGTGCTGTTTATTCAAAGACGCTGTGACAGTAAAACTTTAATTTATATTGGATTGTCCTTTCGTTCACATGGAGACGGTGTTTTGGGTGAAAACGCAAGAGCAGTGTGAATATAAAGTTGTGAATTCTTTGCAGCTATGACCTCAGCACTTCCCCCACGTACATTTGGATATGCTCAGTAGCCGAGATCAAACCAGTGGGGGCGGGTCCTGGCTCAAAAGTGGCCAAAATGACGTGCGCTGACATGTTTGCAATACTGTACCACCCCGGGCCGATTGGGGTGGACCCAGAATAAGAATTAGCCAATGCTAACATGTAGCATCTTATTACCTCTCAAAAACGTCTTTACAGGATAGTCCAAAAGTTGGCTCCTGGCCCAAAGCTCCGTTCCACATGTGTGTCAATGCTGAGGGGAGCAAAGTTTTTTGGACCACTCTAGTTTTGTTGCTGTGAATTTTTAAATGCACTCGTTAAATGAATGGAGCTCGTGCCGGCTGACGCATGCGCAAATGCATTTTTTCAACAATTTTCTTGTGGGCGGGACCACTCGCGGCCATTTTGGACATTTTTGACCCATTTGTTTGAACGGCGGAGATAGGCGTGACTACGTCCGTTAATATTTACAGTCTATGGAACAAACGTATACAACAATGGCAGCGGATCAACTAAATCTACTTGTGCTTTGAGCGTTACACGGAGGAAAATTCTACTCCTTTGTCCAAACAGAACCACATGAAGCTGTAGTTTCAGTTCCCATTTTCATTGCTGTTGTTAAATGCAGAATGATGTTGGTTCTTTCCCGTCTTTGCTGCGGCCTGAGGAGGATGTTGTTGAGGAAGTGGTTCTCCTGCTGGGGGTCGTGTGTGTTGTAAAGTTTCACTGCCCCCTACTGTCCGGGCGCTAGAACTACATTGTTTTCCGTCGTCGTGTAGACGCTGTGCATTTCGAATATTGAGCTTGGTCATTTTTGTTCATTGCTTTGCAGCGTCTCCGTCTAAACAGGGCCTAAGTGTGTTAACTTATCACAATTAAAGGTTCATTTATCTTATCTTATCGTAAACTTCCAAGCACAACTGTACTTCTGACTCAGCAGGAGGCCGCTTACATATCACAGACAAGTGAGAAACATACTACGTCCATAACCTTTACCGACGTAGCTTTACATATCAGTGTCACCCTTAAACAAACAATTTTTTTCACCTTTCAGCTTTCCCTTTGTTTTTTGTTCAAACAATCTGTGAATACACACTGCTATACGTTGCTGTGTGCTTAAACATGAATTTGCTATCATGACGTAGATATTCTGTGGTGACATCCGACATCTGCGTCTGTTTGAACAGGCGGCCAGCACAATGAACGCCTTGTCTGCGTTGAGGGCGTGTGAAGAGAGACAGGCTCATCTGCAAGAGCGAGCGGCGTTCAGGCCTGCTCTCTGCGCGCAAACTGACGCAGGCCCGACGCCAGGCAGGCCTGGTCTTGTGTGGTCGGGCTGGGGTTCCACTCACCATGTTCCTGGGGTTTGACATGAGGAAGTGTTGGGCCACATGCGCCGGCAGCAGGTTGAACAGGATCCTCTTGTTGTCCAGCTTCACCTTCTCCATGTCATCCCTCTCCTCCTCCGCCTGAGAGAAAAAACACACAGCACCATGAGGGATGCACACATTTGTTTTGATTCATTGATTTTATTCATTGGAGCAGATATTTTACATTCATAAGTATTTCATATATTGACTTGCTTTAGTCTACATGACCTTTTGTACATGTTGCCTACTCTGCATACACACTCACTCATGCAGATATATAAGCATAAATATTCAGTCAAGAGTCTCCATAGTTTCACCATGTGTTGTAGAATTTTTATTGTGGGAAACACGTTTGGGTATTGTTCAGAATTCAGACTTATTGCAGGTCTTTCGTTCCTGCTGCTGTCAGACTGTACAACAAACAGTGAGGACTAATGAACACTGCCACCCTGAGTGCAATATCCTTACCTAATATCAGGATATGATTAATTCTTAGTTCGGTCCATTTTAAAACAACTCCAAGGATGTATGTAGATTTATAAGTATAAAACCAAAAACGTAACTCTAACACTTAGGAAGCAGAAGGCACTATCATATTTTAAACCAGTTCTGGCATCATCGCAGTGGCTTTCTGTTCATTTTAGAATTGATTTTAAGATTTTATTGTTGAACGGTCTGGCCCCTCCTTACATCACGGACCTCATCCAAATTTACCACCCGCCCTGCGCGCTGAGGTCCGAGGGCCAGCTCCAGCTCGTGGTTCCTAGGATGAGTCTTAAAACCCGGGGACAGGGCCTTCTCTGAGGCTGGACCAAAGTTGTGGAACGCTCTGACTTTAAACTTATCCTTCTGTGGAGTGTTTGAATTCTCGTCTTAATTAAAACCAGTTTTTATTCTCTGGCTTTTAACCCTGTGTGAGTTATATGGTCCTTCTTTATTTTATTTTGTTTTATTGTCATATAAATATTTACATTGTTTTGCCTTTTTGATTTTTAATGATTTTACTGTAGGAGGTGGGAGTTTAAAATGTCTTCCCACTCCTGGATTTTTGCCAATCATGGCTTTTCCATGGCTCAAAATAAAGCATCCATTAATTCGTTATACTATGGAGTGTTTTAATTTGTCTTTTATTATGCAGCACTTTGGAAACTGTGTTTACGAAATATGCTATATAATTAAAGTGGATTGGATTCACGCCTATAGAGACCTGAAATGGAGTGGGAAGAAGTAAGACAAATTCAATTCTGATTTGTCTTGCTTCTCTCAAGCAGCTGCAATGCCGTATCTGCGTCACTAGAGGGAGCTAAAGTTACACTCAATGGCAACACTGCTCGTCTGAAAATAGAAACTCCACATTGTCATGATCCACCATGACAGAAGGAACCAATCAGACTCTTGGAGAAAATGTGCGGTGAATATTTTTAGAATTGCAACAATGCAGTTAAAAAGGCACATTCCCTGAACGTCAGGAAATGTCTATGAGCAGAATACAATGAGGAGGTTTGGAAAAATGCTGCGGTTTTGGTTAAAAATAAACAGCATTCTGAATTCCAAAACCTCCAATGATTTTAAAGTAGCACAACCTGTTTTGATTCTGATTCACACACGTCTGAGTAACCTTCACTGCTGCTGACTGCTTGAATATATTTGGTGCCCATTGCATAATTGTGTTCTTCTAAAACTGTGTTGAGGATTGATGTTGAATTCATTTTTGGTCTATCTCAAAAGCAGCCGACATTCTCTGCTTTGTTCTTGCATAATTGAAACAGATTCCTATAAATAACACCTGAGACTTTGAGCCTAGGTTAACTCAGACGTCGACCTGTGTTTCTATGGCAACGCTATATGTCAGATGCGAACCACTGGTAGGAAACAAAACTGTTTTTCACACAAGAATGTATGACAATATAAATGTGGTTACAGTAGCAATTCCTGTTTGTATAATGTTCATGTCAAGTCATCATTAAAGGGCCCTAATCTGTCAAAAGGCATTAATAAAACATGCTCGTTTCCAATATTTCTTTAACTCATAACAGTAGTTCAGAGATATTAAAATTTCAAAATTAGTTTTACAGCCCCTAAATCTTGTTATTGTTTTCATTTTGATGTCCCGCCCAATTTACCAATCAGAAAGTCTGTGATCCGGGTTGCCAGACGTCACCGTGTCAAGCTAATCTCCCTGGTAAAGTAACTTATACTTATACCTTTATACTAATATTATTCTATTCCACAGATACAAAACTACACCTACGAGTACTTTGTGAGAAGCAACAAGCTGAGACAAATGTAATACTGCTGTCAAGACACACCATCTTGCAAACATTTCAGATTGATGTCATTAAGAAAATATTTTAGAGAACACATAGCATTCATCCATCCATGCATGCATTTTCTTCCCCTTAATCTATTTCTGGGCTGTTCTGACAACACAGCCTAGACCTTTCAGTGGGGGCTTCAGGCAAAGTGGGGTTAAGGCCAATGCTCTACCAACTGAGCCACTGTCGAGAACATTTATCTGACTTATAATAATGATATGAATATTTAGGGCGTGTTAGCAGTGATTACATGACGAATGACAATGGACAGATTTGGTCCAGCTGTTTTATTTTGTGGTGCTTTCTTTATGTGAAGAGCTTGATCCGAACAGAAGCTAAGCACACTATGGCCTGGCTAGTACTGGGATGGGAGACTTCTGGAAACAGCAGGTCCCATAGCGGGGCGGCTGGAAAATGCCGAACTGTGATTGCGTCCAAAGGCAAGATGTTTAATCCACATTGCCTAGTTGGAGTCTGTTTGCTGCTGTGTTTGGAAGAGCATATGGCACAGATTAGTCGCCTCACTTCTGTCAGTCTGCCGCAGTGCAGCTGTGGCTCCAGCAGCAGTTTACTAGCTCAGTGTGGATAGATAATGAAGCGTCTTTGAGTGTCATACTAAGGATTATATAAAGCAAACCTGTGTTCAAAGGAAACAAAAATGTGGCACACAATGGCTGCTTAGGCCAAGATGAGAAAGTGCAGTTGTTTGTGTGAGCAGGTATGAAGACTTTCCACGCAGCCTCGCATCGTCTGATGTACAGCTTTATCTGTCGGCTTAATGACGGCAAGAACATTATAATTATAAGCCTGACGAACATCAAATTACCAGTCTGAACAGTGGAGACATCATCCAGGGGTTTGACTGAGGAGCATTAGTGTGCTGTTTAGTTTTGTCGTTTGTGATAGTTTGTAATAATAAAGTTTTATGCATATACAGGTCATGGAGTACACCTGTTTATAGCAGACCAAACAATAAAATCGCTTCTAGGATATTTTTTTCATTCCTGGTGCTTTTGTGTCTTTCCTAAAAACATGAAAATCAATGAAAAGCTATTTTGATGTTATTTTATTACATTCATTGTACTATATTTAACCAGGTACTGTAAACACCCATGAGTTTTGTTTGTGTCAAATGTAAACAAATGCGTGTTCTGTCATTGAAATGAAGAGTAGGAACAATGTAAAAAGAGAAGTGAACAAAAAAATCAAGCGATCGTAATCTCACTGTTGGTGGATTGCACCAACTCCTGAACTCAAATGTGGTGGTCTCAGCAGAAGAGGATAAACTTTTTTGTTTAGAATAAATAAATAAAAAGGATTTCTTTACCTTTTACTCATTCATGTTTCTTCGTGGTGTAAAATAAATAACACCATGATTTATTTTGTACCCATTTCGTAGCAAATTGAATCAGAAATCAAGATCAATGTGAAATGATTGTTTTGAGAAAAGTTGCAGCAGAATCATTGACACGGCGCGAGCGGACCCCTCTCAACGTGGGCCTCCCCCGACATTTAAAGACATTTAGAAACATTTAGAAAAGATCGTCGGCTTTTAACTCTTTTGACCTTGATCTAAACATTTTAAAATGTTTCAGATCAAAAGATCAAAATTGTCTTTTGATCTGAAACATTTTACTATAAATTTGAAAAATCTAATTTTAGGCTGTCAATCGAGTTGACATCAATAAACATTAATAGCTTTAGGAATTGTATTTGTTTATTGTGGCAGAGTGGTTAGCATTCTTTGGATTTTTGGATTTAGATTTTACCTTGGACTTTATTTTATCAAATCATTATTTTTGCATTCTCGCATCTTGAGTCCTCCTCCTTCCCACCACGTGACACAAAATGTGCTATAAAACTGTCCCCGCTGTGGGACAGATCTTAAGAAGGATCATAATAAATAGACATTACTTATTTACTTATTGTAGCCTCTGCCATTTTACATTTAATGCAGATATGGTTGTATTTTTTGTGGGATAAGTTTGTTTTTGTAATGTGTTTATGTGTGTTCTCCTGCCCAGGGACTGGAAAGAAGCTGTAGCTAAATCTGGTGCAAATAATCTCTTCCTCTGTAAAGAAAAATGGTTTTGTACTAAACTAAACTAAAACATTTATGAACATTTCCAGACATTGAACTCCGCACCAGAAGATCCTATGTGTTTCTTATGTGTTTCCTGTGGTTGAACAGTTTGATTCTCTAACCTGCCGTTGGTGAATCGACAACTTTGTAAAGTCCTCTGAAATGACTGCAGTTGTGAGTCAGGGCAGAATAAACATTTACATCGAGGTGGAAAACACGCATTATTTATGGAAGAAAAAAAGTCAGCAGCCCCAGCTTTATCAATCAAGTGTATGTGCCAAATATAAAACTTTTATACTTCTTAATTATTATTTGTATTTTCAAGATAGAGATTTTATACTCGGCACACGGCACGGTGGCTGAGTGGATAGCACTCTCGCCTCTCAGCAAAAAGTTGTTTGAATCCCGGTTGGAACGGGGTTTCTCTGAGTGGAGTTTGCATGTTCTCTTCGTGCTTGTGTAGGTTTCCTCCGGGTACTCTGGTTTCCCAGGATGGGTCAAATGCAGAGGATGAATTGCCCTTCGGGGATCAATAAATTGCACTATTTTTTATTTTTTTTCTTAATTAGTATAGCTATTGTTCACTTAAATTGTGTTGTGTGCTCCTCTTTCCTAATGTTCTATAACTTGTGATGCAACACATTTCCCCACTGTGAGACTCTTAATCTTAACAACTCTTCTCCCCTTATTATAAACTATACTATTGTTACACAAACCATCAAACGCACCTGAGTGGCCCAGAGATAGTCAAGTCGCAGTTTGAGGTCCAGTTGTCGCGAATGAAGCGCCAAAGCCCCGGCAAACAGCACCGCCGCCAACACCGGATCGTAGCCGCGGGTCTGCAGAAACCCTCCTCTGCAACACACGACCACACGTGATTTATGTCGGCCCCGCGCTCCACGATTTGCCAAATTAAACACTGGGCCGGCTCATACCCCATTGCTTGCCGGTAGCCACTGGTCTCCATGACAACAGAGTAGATGACAGAGAGGATGAAGAGCAGCAGGATCTTGGGGAGCGAGGAGACGTGGAGGTAGGGCACGATGGTGAGGGTCCCGGCCACACAGGACAGCAGGGCGTATGGCATGTTGGGACAGCTCTTTGCCCCGGCCGTGATGTTTGCAGGCCCCGCGGTGAGAATGTGGGCGGGGGCAAACTCCACGGAGCCGTTGGAGTTGAGGCCCACCACCACCCGGCCCCAGGGAACACATCCAGCCTGCAGAGGAGGCAGAGGGGAGGCAGAGGAGGCAGAGGAGGCAGAGGAGGCAGAGGATGCAGAGGGGGGGCAGATGAGGCAGAGGAGGCAGAGGATGCAGAGGGGGGGCAGATGAGGGAAAGGGGAGGAAGGGGAGGCAGAGGAGGCAGAGGAGGCAGAGGGAAGGCAGAGGAGGCAGAGGAGGCAGAGGGAAGGCAGAGGAGGAAAAGAGGAGGCAGGGGGAAGGCAGAGGATGCAGAGGAGGCAGAAGGGAGGCTTCATGTTACACTGCAATAACTATAATCATCAACATCATCATCAAACTTTTATTACAGACTCATGGTCCAGGATAAGACAAGCGCATCACATAAAAACACTTACTTAAAGAAGTAATGGAAAAGAGCATGTTTTATTAATGCCTTTTGACAGATTAGGGCCCTGATGCCTTGCCATGAAAATCTTACATATTACTACATTAACATAAAGAATAAAAAAATAACCCTAACCCTAACCTAACATTTTGAGAAAAGACAGCCAAAAGAAGATGACTAATTCAAGCTAATATTAACTTTAATTTAACTGGGCAAAGGTCTCTAATAGTGTCTTTTATTATAAGGACTTACATGTGCAAACTGCTCAAAAGAGAAAGCGGTTTGGGGTCGCTGAGTTTAGAAAGTGGGAGTTTTAACTACTTTTTTATCAGCAAATCTTGTAACTTGACCCTGTGTGAAAAGGATCAGGAGAATATTAAATATTAAGTTGCTGCAAATATGAGGCAAATATCTTTTTGTTTGCAATAGTATTATTATTATAGCAATGTGGCGTTTATTGGATGAAATATATTGTGTATAAAGTATGTTTAACGGGTGCAGTTTTTATGAATTCTCTTCTTTCTTCTCCTTCTAATTCATGTTAGTCTATCAACTGAATGACACTGTTTTCAATTTCTTATAAGTATTTTAGAAATGTGACTCGGAGCGTGCATACCCCGCCGACACCACATATGATGTTAAAGGGGTCTTGCAACCATCACATCCCATCTTCCCATCTACCCACCGTTTACACAGTTTAATCTCAATACATCCATTAGTTGTGCAACACACACACACACACAAACACACACGCACACGCACACGCACACACACAGAGAGAGACTATTACAGTACCCCTTGTTGGCAGGGTAATAAACAGTTTGGGTTAAAAACATGTTATTTTGAGAGCTTTTCCCAGTGCCACACAGCTCTTTAGTGACTTATTATTTCAAAAGTTATGACTTTATAATCGAAGGAACATTTATTTAGTCGACACTTCCTTTTTATGCCAGAGTGCAGCTGCCACAGGGACCCACAACGACTGAGAGATTTATGGGGAACATATTGTCTGCAGCATATTGACCATTAGACTCTCAGTCTGACATAAAGTCATTTGCATTTAAAATGTTTTAATGGGTATTTCACACTTGAATAGTAAATGCTTTATTCTGTGGAGACACAGAAGTACCATCTGCCGCTCAGCCAGCAAATGAATACCCCACACAAAGATTGGCGAAAGCGGTGGGATTAGCAACTAAATGATGACACTGTACTTTTCTATGGCTGAAAGTTACAATTCAGAAAGCACTGTGTTGGTAATATTAACAAAAGCTGATCATGGCTGCAAAGACATTTGTATGACTGGAGGGCTGCAATAATGAACAGCACTTACATTTTCTCCAGTTGAATAAGTTGCCATAATATTTTGCAATGTTAACAGTTTTTATTGAGAAACAGACAAATCTTGACTCACTCTCTGTAAATCAGGATGTTATGTGAAGGGACTTGGAAGTAAACTATTTAAATGTAGATACAAGAATAAGGAACCAAGGTCACACGATTTGCTCTTGCCCTTTTGGAGACATACACACTCAGAACAATTCATGATTCATAAGAGACATAGATACTATAATTCTCCTTTAGAAAATAATACTTACAAATCTGAAATATGGTGATATTTCTAAAACTCAGCATGTTTGACTTGCTTTGTGCATCATCGTTGTGTGCTGGGTTTAAAATGCACAATAGAAGTAGGATGAATCAATGTTTTTCTTACACCGCATATTTAAATATTAAAATGATCCACAATAAACAGACTGCTGAAGGCACTCTCAGCCACTGCTGCTGTGTGAACAGAAAGAGGGGAATCTCTAGTTACTTTGAATAGAGGGGCTGACTGGTTAGTATTAATTCAGTTTTTGATGCCTTTAAGTCAGCGGTGGTCAAACTGGTCCTCAAAGGCCTAGGAGGTTTACTTTCCAACCAAGCTGGATGAAAAATATATTTACTGCAGTTGTGGGGTAAACTTAGTTGTACTAGTTCCATGTGATGTCTTCAACGTAATAAACAAAGCAACAGAGTCCAGTTTATTGAGGCATTGAGTTGGTCATAAAATATGGGGGAATATGGAGAGAGGTGGAGAGGTCAAAATAAGTGACAAATCAAACTCGGCATTTACGCAGTTCTCCACAAAAACCAGAGGAATCTCCAACATCAGCTCAGTAGTGGCAAGACATAGCTGGTACCATGCAGCTGTGATTATAGGCTTGGGGGCGGAGCCAGGTGCAGCCCAGAGGAGTGGCCAAAGCAAGCAGGCATGGGAGGATGAGGGATTTTTCACACAGGAGCACACCCTCCATCCATTTACTCAAGTGAGACCAACAGGGTAAAGAAGTGAGTACCGCTTGATTACCCGACATGTTTGCGCCTTTGTCAGAGGTGATGGTGTACGTAGTTATCAGTAGAAAGATCTGTCACACTGACCACGCCCCCCCCCCCACCTTGCTGTGGTCTCTGGAGAAGTGAGTCCCATGTGCATTTGAGGACAATAATGGACGTTTAGGAACATTTACGGACATTGGTCATCCTGCTCCCTGTGGACCAATGACACCTAGATGTTTGTTATTATTGCATTTCCTGTGCTGGATTTTCCTGTTGGCCTTTCTGATCTGTAAACGACAGCTGTTGTGATTAAGGGATATACATAAACAGAAGGAATTTAATTGAATATGTGAGCAAACATGAAAGCTTCCTGGTTTCAGTCTGTAACAACAGATCATAAAAGACACACCATGTCATTCAGCCAACTTGAATCCGGTCAAATAGAAACCTAAAATCCCGGATGTCGGCCCCTGGACTAGCCAGGTTAAATAAAATAGATACTTTATCGACCCCCTGTGGGAGAAATTCAGTTCAGCAGCAGAATACTCATACAGGTCCGTTGTACAGTCTGACAGCCATCTGACAAAATGGCCGTCTTACTAAAATAATGTCCACACAATACACCTTGATTGATTGATGGATAGAAGAGCGTCCACTCACCACACTGGCCTGAGATACGGAGAAGGTCAGCAGCACCAGGAAGATGCACAGCACAGTTCGTATCTGGATGGTGAGGCAGCCCGGCTGGCACTGAGAGGTGGAGGATTACAGTCAGTAAATGAAGCAACAGCCCGACATCATTGTGGACGCATCATTAGCCACTGGATGGATATGACACGCGCAGCCCTGCTATGTGCACGTCTGCTACGGCCGACACTGATGACTGTTCAATGTAGCATGAACAAGCAGCAGCAGCAGCAGTGATAGGACCTATTTAGACGCTAACTACAGCATAGGAAACTAGTGCAGTTCTTGTAGGAAGTATCTTAGAGTTTGAAATTATGGCAGAATGGGGATGTGTTTAAGGGTAGGATGGAAAAAAAGGTGTATCTGTGATTATAGACAGTGTACATTGGTTGACAAGACATGGATTCACTTCAGGCATGTCCAAAATCCAGGCCCGGGGGCCAATTGCGGCCCTCAGTGTCATTTTATGTGGACCTTTGCCTTGCTAACCCAAAGTAGTTAGTAGTAGTAATGGTGCTAATGTAGCTGGTGAGATGGAACACATTTGTCATTCAGCCAACTTCAGCTCTGTCATAGATCATCATAAAGCTCAGAACAGCCCAATGCCAGTTTTTCAGTCCGTGATGTCGGCCCCTGGACTAGTCTGGTGAATTAAGGTGGCCCTCTTACTAAAAAGTTTGGACACCCCTGATTTACTTGTATCTAAAGTGCTGAGTGTCTGTCTATGGCTCACATCTTGAAATGCAGGAGCAAAAACAAACCTTATGATCCATGGACCAATTGGCCTCCTTGCATAAAACTGCTCCATGACAGGTCTCTTCGTCCTTTTGTCAAATGTGTTCTATATTAAGAGTCCTGAGTTCGCTGTCTGTGCACGGACCAAAATATACTTTATCCAAGAAACAGGGTCTTATTAGTGATAGAATCCATGTTATCTGAGCACGTACTGTCAGCGGATTCTGGTGCCGGCTCCCGGGGCTCTGTGACTTTGCACTGTACACTTCAAAATTAAAGTTTTGAAAATGAATGAAGAATAATGAAATAAAAGGATGCACTCCAGCCTGCCATGCGTGAGGGGGTGTCAAAAATTGCCACGAGGTTATGTTTGTGACACATACAGACACACACACACACACACAGACAGACACTCCTTGCTTTATAGTTATCTAATTGGCTTATATAGGTAGATAGAAAGAGGCAGTGGAGATTATATATATATGTTATACTTTTGTTTTAGCTTTTTCACAGCTCACATCCTATGTCATCACTAAGGACTAAAGGAGGACTTTTACGGCCTAATGTTGGAAAACTAACAATCATTACCATTTATGTCACGGGTAAATCCATTGGTCAGTCCATCTGGTTTTATATTTTTTGACATTGTAGATTTTAGGTGTTTAAAGGTGCACTGTTTCACTTTTCTGGCAGAGGATACCTCACCTGTTTGTCACCATGGAGATGTTATTGCAGGTCACATCTTTGAAGAGTGGACCCTATTCACAGTAGGAATGGATGTTTAAAATACAAGCGCTAAAATGTGACTTAATGCTAAAGGGTGGAACATTCCCGGCAAAGCAATAACTCCACAGAGACAAGCAGATGGGGCACCTTGAGTCGTTTCAACTGTTATTATTTTATTATAATCTAATCTATTACATAAAAACGACTACATTACTATAACGTGATGAAGAGACATATAGTAGAATATCAAAAGAAGGCAGGAGGATGGCGTACCTGGACCTTGGTGAGGTGTAGATACATGACGCAGGCCACATGGAAACAGACGCAGAGTACGAGCAGCAGAAGCACCAGCAGGCCCCTGTGCCACAGAGAGCAGAGAGGACTTTCACATCTGCACCTTGTTGACACAATCAATAACAGTATAAAGCAGACGCACCAGACTGTGTGCACTTACTGTGGGATCATTAGGAGATAGATAAGGCCAAAGAGAGCGGCGAGGATCAGGGACAGGACCACGGCACTGATGTAATGGTCATCGTAAACCTGGTTATACTGGGAGTGGGTAGATTTAGATTTAGATTGTTAATTATTACACTTAATTATATATATAAAAAAAAATCATATCTGTGTTCCTCGCATCTCATTATAATAATAAAGTAGATGACTTACGCAACGCTTTGCATGTACCAAAGAGAGTGAGGCATTTAGCATTTAGCCTAGCTTTAGCCATCTCCTTTGCCACTAACGGAGCCAGTGGGGAGTAGAGTCACAACATCTTTGCAGCAATGATATTTTCTAATAATTCCTCTTGCTTTGGCTTCTATTTCTTGATATTTGGAGCCGAATCAGAGCGAATTACTTTACTATCGCATTCGCCGCCATTGACAAACTACAACCACCAATTTTGGCGCAAACTCTTGACGTCACCGACACCTCCCTACAACACCTGTCTCCCCTTTAACTGAATCAGAGGGGATTCGACCAAGGAAACTAGGATCAGACCCAGACGTACATGTAGGAAATGATCATGGACCAAAATTCACCAGGAAAGACCAGGATAATTATATTTATGAAACAATTCACCCCAAGATTTCCTCTGTAATGGACTTGAACTAAAACATGAAAACATATAGCATTTAATGAGCCATACGATCACAACTTGTCACATCAATAATTTAAAAGACTTATATTTGTGAGTAAAATCTAAGGCATTCTTCAAGTACACACATCTCAATCAAAACATTTTCAGGCACTTGAATTAACACAAACACATCCACAGGAATCTGCTGGACAGTAGATGGACGATATCTGAATTCTTTCTTGGACACTCTTGCACAAGTTCTTGGCAGCAGTGCACCTCCTCCTTCATGCACCCGCCCACGCCGACATAGGAGGAAGATATCACGTGTGCGTTCAGACAGATAATTCCCAAATCATTATCTGCACCCCCCCCCTGAGCCGGTGGGCGGACTCCTCTGGCTCATAGACATGCACATTACAGACAAGGCGTGGGAGCGTGGGAGAAAGGAGAGAATGGGTCGCGCTCGTAGGGCGTAGTAGAAGGAGAAGACCGAGTCACGAAGCATGTATGCCGTTTGTTTAATGAGGAAGACCTTAGTGTGGGCTACAATCACTTCTTTTGTAAGCAACTGCAGATGACCTCCGTGACCACAGGAAAAGTTTGTCATCTAGCTGTTGGTTTAGTGGGAGTTTCATCGCTTTTCTTGCTCATTTCTATAGTTGTAGTTTGTATAAAAGGAGTATAGTGTTCATTTATATTCCTTCCATTGCCAACAACACCCTATGTATGTGTGTGTCAAACTTGCACGCGAAAAACAAGATCCCGTCCGATCTCTGAAGCTAAGCAGGGCAGGGCATGGTTAGGACTGTGATGGGGGTACTCTGAGAACACCAGGTGCCACAGTGGGTAGGCTGCGAAAGTGCCAAACTGTGGTTGTGTCCTTAATGTAAAGTGCCAAACTGTGGTCGTGTCCTTACTGTAAAGTGCCAAACTGCTGTTGTGTCCTTAGGCAAGACACTTCAACCACACTGCTTAGAATGAGTCTGGTGTGTGTGTGTGAATCGTTGGTGGTGGTTGGAGGGGCCGATGGCACAGACTGGTTGCCTCGCTGCTGTCAGTGTGCCCCAGGGCAGCTGTGGCTACTATAGTAATTTGTCACCAGTTGCCTTGTGTCTGACTTGTGCTATACAAAATAAACTTGCCTTGCCTAAATCAATCAATGTGCCACAGTAGTAGCGGTATTTTTATTTGAGCAGTGCAATGTAGTTTTCTTTTTTACACATCATTCGAGAAAGAAAGCTCACAATGAGAAGGCAGAAGCAAAAAGCGTATAGGTGCCTTCCCTATTATCAATACTTCCTTTAAGCAACAGCAAAAAGATTTAAATTTCCATGTGTTAACAAAAAGCTGGTGCTATTTCAACACAAGGATTTTTTTCTCGCAATTAATCAGAAATGACAATGATTATGAAGCAGAAAATAAATGTACAAACGTTATACATTTTTTGTCCCCTCCCTCCCACGGGTCCACCCTTCCCAACATACATTTTATTGTTGAAATATAGTTATTTGATTTCACATTTTCCCTGTGAGAAATGGTGCCGGAGACCAGAAGGAAAGAAAGAGAAAATGTGAGTGTGTGTGTGTCTTTACCCTGCGCTCCCTGTCTCTGCTCCTGTAGCACAGCGTGATGAAGTTGAGGTCCGTAGTTTCTGACTCGGTTTGGCGGGCCTCGATGAGTCGGCCGATGTAGCGGTTGACACGTGTTCCGGGGGAGTGCTGCACTGCGGTGGCGGAGAAAGACGTCCTGCTCCTCATCTTCTCCGACGCCGTGCGCAGGGCCCTTCTCTGTCAGCCACAAACACAACACAATCTGTCCCAGCAGACGCCATTGAGCAGCCAAGAGAGGCCCAGCGTGAGTGTGTGTGAGCAGACTTCTGGAACACACACATTTCTGCAGAACGTGAAACCGCGGATGGACTCAAATGTGGACTGAACAGAACGGTACATAAAGTACTGTAGCCACCCAGAATTTATGTTACTATTTGAATAAACAATATGTAAAAATCTGGCTAAAGGTGGTTCTGCAATCACGGTCAATAATCTGTAGTCCTCTCTCACTTTCCCTGACTCAGGTTGCCAGATATGCAAACAAATCCAGTTGGGACCAAAACAGCTGAATAGACAAGAGTTTTTTTTGACCACAAATCTATAACCAACACCTTTTTCACAAAGATAGAAATCCTGGTTTTATTTTTTGTTTTGTCGTTAATGATTTGAGAATCATAACGAGACCTTTTTTAGTTCTGCGCCACATGGTACTTTACCAGTGAGATTAGCTCGACTCTGTGAGTTCTGGCAACCTGGATCACAGACTTCCTGATTGGTGAAACGTTGGAGGGCGGCACATCAAAATGAAAACAATAACAAGATTTAAGGGCTGTAGATCCAATTTTTAAATTCTCATATGTCTGAACTACTGTTATCAGTTAAGAAGTATTTCAAAAGAGCATGTTTTTTTAATTTCTTTTGACAGATTAGGGCCCTTTAATGATGACTTTAAATGAAAATCTTACATATTACTACTTTAATTGTTAATTGTTCATGCTGTTAAATGCATTGTCATTCTAAAAGTTTAGAGCACTTTAGAGGATTGGCTCAGAATAAAGGGGAGGGGGTGGTTAGGGGGAGAGAGGAGACCGTTCTATTTTGAACCCTCTCTTGTTTGGGAGGCTGTCTGTTTTGGTTGGCTTTGCTGTTTTGGTGTTATTACGGCCGACACTAACCATCTTGAGATCTTGGAATAAAGTGACAAGTAGAAAACTGTCTCTACCATTCTTTACTTGAGCAGAGACGCTGCAGTATTTATAGAACGATCAAAAACATGAACTGTAGATTGTAGATGTCTTGAGCAGTGGACGGACAATTGGATAAGCTGTGTTTACAGGGAAACAGGATCTGACTTGAAAATATTCAGAGAACGGATGGAAAATGTATATAGTGATAAAAATACATATATATATATATATTATATGTGGAGACTTTAATATTAATGTATTGAATCCTAATATGGCTGTAATCATTGAAGCCACTTATCGACCCTAAATTCTAATAAACATTAACTCACAGCAGAAATAAGTACAAAAAGGATGTCATGGAATGTATTGAATATGGGACAACAGAAGAAAGGCTGTTTTCAGGGCAGAGAATGCAAAAGTAAATCGACAATGTTTAGCTTCTCTCTGGTGAGGGAGAAAAGCCTGTTCCTTTTCTTCCACTGATGTCAATGTCCTGAAGATTTCCTCAGCTCCTCCTCTGCAGTTTCCCTCCAATCCCACATTAAAAACACCACAAATTACCACCATTCATTTAAGATAGCACTCGCTTCAGTGGACACATGCTCAAAATGGAGAATATTTCAGTTCCCCATTCGCTCCCATTGTGCATGACTCCAACCATGACTGAATCATGAGAGTGACTAATATTTAATAACACAGTGTTTTCTACTGCAAGAAGTATCTGATATATTTATATAATCCATACTGGTCTGTGCTCCTGTTTATTATACGACAGTGCTGGGGAGTGACGGGATACGTGTAACACCATTAGGCCTTCAGGATACTATTTTACTAACCATTTGTTTTCTAGTATTTAGAAAACAATTACATTCTGAAAATCAAAGTTATACATACTTCCTCGCATTACGGTTTAACGCTCAAAAAAGAAAAGAAAACATTGTGTATTCTTTAAGTGAAGATTCTATTTTCGGGTTGTTAAACGCAGATCTGTTGAAGCACTTAATGACCAAATAACCAACAAATTATTGAAAAATGATTGAATAATTACATTTATTGAGGCTGTGGTTTTAAATATTTCGAAATGTACTTTTATACGTTTTGTAAATAAACATTAATTTACAGTAAATATAGATAATACAAAAATAATAATTAAAAGTATAATTAACAGTATTCTACAGATACAGGTACTACTTTTTACTTTTTACATTCTACCCAACTCTGACTTCAAACAGCATTGCAGCTTCTTGTGCATTCATCCAAGCTCAAAGAGGAGAATTAACCCTGGTTTAAAAATAAACCTGGATCTTCACAGAACATTGTGGAACGTTTAGAGTCGACTAAACTGCTTCCACAAGAAACCGTTGTTATCCTCCGCGTAACCATTCCTGTATTTATTCATAGACGCCACCTTTGACTAACAAATGGATGTGTTTCAAAGTGTGGGCTCGTCAAGGGCTTGAAAGGCAGAGGTTAAAAATAGGAGATGAAATAGTGTCTAAATTAGCATCTGTTTCTGCTAAAGTCAATTAAAACACAGTGGTGCTTCTCACATCAGACTCTCTCCCCGGAGGTGATATGAAGCTGTTCCCACGCACCGTACGGCTAACTTCATCTCCTCCGGCTCTTCCACACTTTCTGTATAAAAATTGCACCGTGGGGAGATCAATCCATCTTCCTATGATGCGGTTTCTTGTTTGTTGTTTAAGCAATTAACTCAAAAGCAGTCAGCGGTAATTCGGATCAAACTTTGATCAAAACATTCCTGGTGTTGGGAGCTGAGTGGTGGATGACGGCTGTCTCTGGATGAAAAAAGCAGAATCTATTAATCTAATAATCTAATTGAATTAAAGTTAGTAGGTTCGAGTGGTCTGCTTTGTGTGATTTGGGTTAGTTATTCTGAGGCAAAGACCTGTTCCACGTGGACTTCGCGGCCCACCCACTCAGTCTTAATGGGTGTGTAATGGGAGCGATTGGGAAACATATGATGAATTAATGCCTCAATTTCTGAAGAAGCCAGTTTTAGTTTGAACTCTTTTGATGGTGATACATTTTATTCAGAAGTGATTACTGGGAAGTAGTGGAGGCGGTGGCAGCAGTCCCTACAGCTTTTTGGGGTGGGTGGTTAGAGAGATCAATGTTTTTTGTTTTTAATTAACTGTAAAGCTCTTTGTGTTGCATTTTTGTATGAAAAACGTTTTGTGAATAAATATTGATTGATTGAAAACACTTTTTTCCAGAATCGTTACTGTTGAAAAAACACAACCAGGATGCATTTCATTCATTCAACATTTGTGCAGTTACCACCAACAAAAGAGGAAGTTGATCCAGGCTCTTATACTGTCAAAATGTACTTACAATACAACGCAAAACCTAGCATTAGCCCTAATCAGCTACATACCACCACTGGAGCTCCTTGTTATTGCACTTAGTAAACTTTCCTATAAGTAAACTTTATAGAACGTTGAACTGCCCAAACTAGAGACTGACGATAGTGTCAAGAACATTGTAGTCGGTTTTATCATAAATATATTCAATTAGTAATGTCAAGTATTATGGATTATTCCTGGCTAAGTATTGGAGTATAAACCAAATATTGTAAATATATTAAGTGGAAAAATACTCGAAAATGTGTTGGCCCAAATAACGGGAATACTGAATACATTTCAACATGAGATCTGATCCAATCCACTGTAATTGTATAGCACATTTTCTAAACTATATCTTAGCATGACAGATTGTAGTACTTACACCTGCTCTTATTTGGCCAAACCAAAAGCCAACCAATGAAAAACAGTACATGGGCGTTCAAATACTACTTCAGACCCTATTTTCCCACAAACATAAAAGTAACAGATGAATTGTGTTGTATTTAGGAACATTACTAAAGTACAAATAATGTAATCTCTGTTTGTAAAACGCTGGAATACGACCTTTTAATCTTATTATGCTGTTATGAAAGTCTATTACAGCCTGTGACACAATGTTTGAAGTTAGTCGCTTTAGATAATCATGCAAACATGTAATGCTATTAAGACCAGATGATACCCGGCTGTTATGATTACCAGTCAAACACTCAACCATCAAAAGCCAACGGGAAGGCTTGGCCAGGCCTGGATTACAACGACTAACCTATTTCTGACAGCTACAGCCTGTAGTGGCCCGACCAATCGCAGCACGGCACAAAAAGAAAGAGGGGGGGGGGGGGGGGGTGGTTTCAGAACAAGACCAGCGGGGGTCTGACTCAGCACCGCATCACTATAGTCGGGGAAAATGCAGAACGTAGCACAAGCAGAAACATATGATAGACATACGCCTGGCTCAGTATGTCTATCCCACTGGCTCACTTTACAAACTAGTGATGCATGGATACTGGGGGGAAATCTAGACCGGCAGATTAACGCGCTGTGCGACCCTGTGACTGCGAGTGTGTGTCGAGTGGATTATCGGCAGGGTTTTTCAAATGAATAGAGATAAAGTCATCGGGCTGCACTCTATTTGTATCACAACATTGACCGAGGCTGCGTTCACGTTTGCCCAGGGTTTGGAATGTGCAGGTTTTTTACGTGGTTTTAAAGTCTTGGGAAAGTGAAATGTTGTGAACAAAGCAGACCACAGCCGGCTGTCTTTATTGTATTAGAAAATATGTTACTTTGTGAAATTTGGACATAAGTACTGAAGGTGCATGTGGAGGAAAGAGATGAATGCCTTGAGCACAGAGTGAGTAGTGGGGGAGGGTGTTTGGTCAGAGGATGTTTGGGCCTGAGTGTGTGTGTGTCTTGTACCATGGTATTGTGCTAATTTTCTACTTTTGTTTTTGTAATGTGAAATGTGAAATTCTGTCCTCTGCATTTGAGCCATCCTGATGCCACTAATGTTTCTGTCAGGAGCAGTATTTATAGTGTTCATGGATTTGGAATTGTTCTTGTATTGTCATCTTGTCTATGTCAAGACTTGTCTTTTGCTTCATCCAACCCCTTTTCAAAACATATAAGTACAAATGTTGTGTTACTTTGTTTGGTTGATTGATGGATAGTTGAAGAAAGAGCCCTGTTAGACTGCGTTTAGACAGAGACGCTGCAAAGCAATTAGCAAAAACCACCAGGCTCCGTAATCAAAGTGCACAGCATTTACACAACGACGGAAAACAATGTAGTTCTAGCGCCCGGCCAGTAGAGGGCAGTGGAACTTCACAACACGACACACGCGACCCCCAGCAGTATAATCACTTCCTCAACAACATCCTCCTCAGGCCAAAGACGATAACACTGGGTAACAAAAAAATATATTTTGAAAATAGTCCAGGGTTTTCCAGCTGAATTAGACTAATTTTGATGCTCCGAGTCCGAAAATGACCTTGGTTTTGCTCAATCAGGTAAGGAATTTTTTGCTATAGAAATATTTTTTTTAATCGATTTTGCGTAAAAAACAAATTTCTGCGGATTATCAGCTGAGAAACCCTTGACGTTTTTTTCGTTTTCCTCAAGAAATAAAAGTCAACGTATCCAAAGTCATTCAGTTTTTATTTACTCCATCAAATTTGATAAGCAGAATTCATAATAACGTAGACGTACATAATCCGTAACACTATGGCTGTATCTCAAAAATTTACCTGATAGAGCAAAATGCATGTGATATTCGGACTTAGAACACCAAAATTAGTCTAAATCAGTTTAGAAACCCCTGACCATTTTTTGGCTGTCAACTTGTGTAATAAAACCAACATTTTCTGTATTTACCAGCAGCAGAAAAAATGGAAACTGAAACTAGCCGATTGGGTTAATAGTCCTCTTTTTTCAATTTAGTGTGTAAAACTTTTAGTATTTAGTTAGTTAGTTAGAAATGTTTATACTGTAAATGTTCATAATTGATGTACTTATGTGTTTGAATGAATGCGTTTTCTGCTGCTGGACATCTGGATTTCTCCTACGTGGGATCAATGAAGCACCTATCTAACTATCTGTCTATCTATCTATCTATCTAAAAAACGCTCTAAAGAAGTGACCAAGGCAAAAAAATACATACATGGTAAAACTAGCGACACAACCAGCGCTAGGAACTGGTTAGAATGGATTTCATAACATAGTTCCAGTTCATGTGATTTGGAAGTTGAATACCCCAGCTTTAAACAATTGCGGAGTGGGTTAATGTCAATATCCTCTCAGTTACAGCAAAAGCGAACAGCACCAGCGGCTCTCACACAGAGTTACATCAGCTCTTGACCTCCAAATGCAATCGAGGACATAATCTAACCTCACGATGTACTTCCAGCTGTTCTACACGTGGGAAAGTGATGTAAAGCATGAGTCAAGCATCCGTTTGTGTTTGGAGAACTCACCTTGTCATCGTCCTCGCAGGTCATGACGTTGGAGAAGGGGATCTCGGCCTTGAACATCTTCCTACAGTGCATCAGCTGCACCAGGAGATAGCACACGGTCTTGAACTTCATCCTCTTGGCTGGTTTGATGTCTGACAGAATGATACCGGGGAAAATCTAAAAGAAACATGAGAGAGAAAAGCTGTATGAGAAGAGAATAATAGGACTGTTGCTACGACCACCAGCACACACTGCTTTCTATAATAAAGATGTAGCATTCAGACAGATGAAAACGCTTTTATCATAATCATAACAATAATAATACATCTTGTTTATAGGACGCCTTCATGGGTACCCAAGGTTGCCTTACAAAATACATTAAAACATTAAAAGCAAAAGTTTGTTTGTAAGGCAAGGCAAGGTTATTTGTTTATATACTATGTAAGGTGCTGAAAAAACAAGATAGACAGACCCACAAATCATAAATAATCACATTACATTAAAAAGTAAAAAGACATAGAAAATGCCTCAGTGGTTGCAGCTGAACAGGACTCTTTTCAACCTGGATTTGAACATTGTCAAATAAGACGCCTGTCTCACATTTTCAGGAAGATTGTTCCAGATTTTGGCTGCATGAATCTGAAATGCAGCCTCCTCATGTTTAGTCTTGACTCTGGGACCAGCAGGAGACCAGTCCCTGAGCTCCTCAGAGTCCCAGCAGGAGGCCAGTCCCTGTGCTCTTCCCTGTCTGAGTCCGAGTGTGTTCATATGGCACTAACATGTCACTTAAATACTGTGGTGCGAGGCCATAAGTGTATTCTCTGAGCCACATGAAGCAGTGCAGAGACCTATCGCACCAAGGCCAAATGTGATGTGTTTTAAATGGTCCAGAGTCCTCAAAATCATGTCTATATCTAGATTCTAAAACCTAATGGAGTCAGAAGTCCCAGAAGGGCAGCCAGTTAATACAAGAAAAAATCTATGCATTTGACAGATGATTTTTATGTTGCTGCACATTTGTAACTTTTGGAATCGCACCGTTCTGCAGTTAGAGTAAAATCTGTAAGCGCTGATTTTCTCCATGTTCCACAGCATCAGACGTGTACTGCTAGCTTTTGGCGGCTCAGCAAGAGAGTTACACTGGACTCTTCAACTTTACATCAAAAGAATCTGCCGCACTTTTTCTCCAAAACTTCGTCCATTAAACTTTAAACTCATCGCTGTGACCTTCATTTATCTACAGTCTACCAGTTAATTCTCCAGAGACCAAATTCCCACAAATCTGTAAATGAGGTATTGGGAAAAGGATGACGAGTCACTTTTAAGATGAAAGACTGAATTTTAAATAGCTTTGCTGAATCACCTCATTTGTGGGATAAAAAATAGACTTGAAGATAGAGCTGGGTGAAAATGCCTCGAGTTGGATCACTTTTTTTTTCTCGTACTGATCTCACGATACAGATTTTTGTTTTCTCCTATATTTATCCTATATTTCTGTTTAAAACTGAAGGGCATTGGTGCAGTTGTTATTGATTAGAGCAGTGTTCTTCAACACTAAAGGTCCTCTAAAAATGTGCTGCGTTGCTGCTAACTCAACCAGTTTCTACCAACGAGTTTTAATCCAGATCATCGATGATTTGGTAGAATCAGTGTTGGGGAGTAACTGAATACAACTGTATTCCAATATAGTTACTACTTTAACAATTAGTATTTAGAATACAGTTACTTTCCTAAAATCCCAGAATACATTCATTCACACATTATGTTTTAAGGTTAAAAAAAAGTGAAGATTAAGGTAAAAGCTTTGACTTGTTTTACAAAATAAACAACAAAATATTGGATAATTACAGAACATTGAGGTTGTGGTTTTATATATTTTGCAAATGACCTTCATATATTTCAGATTACAGGTACAACCTTTTCCAAAGTAACAGAATACTATACAAAATACACTTTAGGTCATGCTTTCAGTACTCTGGAACAGAATACATTTTCAAAATACTCGAGCACTGGGTACAAAGTATTTAAATAATTCCCTTTGATTATAGATCTGTGACACTGACCCCGGTCTCTGTGAGTTCAGTCTATTGTATGGAAGCTGTGAATTTGGCCTACACACGTCAAGTTATTACTTTGAAATACTGTCTATGTGTCTGTCTGTGTGTGTCTGTGTGTGTGTGTGTGTGTGTGTGTGTGTGTGTGTGTGTGTGTGTGTGTGTGTGTGTGTGTGTGTGTGTGTGTGTGTATGTCTATGTGTATGCGCGTAGGTGTGTGTCAATGTGTGTGTGTGTCTGTGTGTATGTGTGTGTGTGTGTGTCTATATGTGTGTGTCTGTGTCAGCTTTAACACAAGGCCAGAGGATTAACTATTACCAAACTGACACTTTGACAGCCGCGGTCCATCACAGAACTCACCTTTCGTCGATGTGATGGCACAATGAAAAAGGTCTCGATGTTATGTTTCTGCAGGAAGGCGTGTCTCTCGTGGCCAAAACCCGGTTCCACCTCGTAATCACCGTTTAGACACTCCAATGTGGTCCTCGTGATGTGCACCTTCCTGAAAGTAAAGAAGAGAATTGTTGGCTATTGTATTAGACCCTGAATAAACACAGTGAATTTGAAAAACGGACATAGAAAACAAAATAAAAGGACAAATTAGCTTTTAATTCAGAATATTTTAAAGCACTTTGGGTGAAATTTGTCTGTAAAAACACACTATATAAATAATGATTACTTTCTTACTTACTTACTTACATTGTGACAGTCATCAAAACGTATGTGAGACTTTTGATACGGCAAAATATTTAACCGTGAAAGAATGATTTCCATCTCTAGCTTGGATTTAATTACATGGTAGACAAACATCCTTTAGGGACACACTCGCAGTTAGAACATTTTGACGATAAAAATCAATGTGTTTCAAGTCGCCTTGAGTGAGAGATTCATGGACATCCCACAATCCCCTAAAATGTGTGCACTTAAGTCTTTGGTGATTATCCAACTCATTATTTTTATCAGCCTAACAGTCCTTCCTGAAAAATCCTTGGGAAAAAAAAGAAAGAAATGCTAGCGCTTAGTATAATCTAGGAGCACGTTTTATAATCTCGCCGCTTCACTCCAACAAGATGGAATTGGGCTCGTGGGCTGGCCTCATTTCATGGTCTTAAAGTGTAAATTAGTCTAATACTGTACATGCATTTAAATACACCTTTCTTACTATAATAGAGGGACTGGCTTAAATGTTAACACATACTGTACATGGACCTGCTACGGGGTTTACTAAGACTCCTCTGAGAACAAAATGAACAAAAGTCACTCGTAAACTTTATAATTACATACATAGTAATTGTATAGTAAAATTATTCATCATTTTGTATGTACACCCAAAGACAAATAACAAATATGACCGGAATAAAAACTACGATACGCAGTTTAGAAAGGGGTTGGAAGAAGCAGAAGATTATGTTTACCCTTCTTACACATATAACACACACACACACACACACACACACATATATATAAACACGTGCACACACACACACAGACACACACACACATACACACACATACACATGCTTTTAGTTCCAGATTGAGATCACTTGAGACATTCTCATTGAAATGTAACTGTTTATATAATCTGTAATGGTACAGTATGTAACTGTATGTAACTTTTGTCCAGGACTCCCTTGAAAAAGTGGTTCTTAATCTCAATGGGACATCCCTGGTTAAATAAAGGTTAAACAAAAATAAAACACACACACATACACTAGGCCCAAACACTCTCTAACCCTACACCACTCCTCCATCACTTGCTCTTTGAAAATAGAATAGTATATTTAATAAAAATTTAGTTGCTATATGTTTGACTTGTATGTCTGTGCTCATACTGGGAGGATACTTCACTAAACTGTCTTTGGTTCCGGTTGGTTCTAAGTTTATTCCCATTTACAACACAGTCTCCGTGTTTACACTGCACTTGTACTTCAGTCATTCAGCCTCACAAGTCCCACAAGTTGCGAGAGTGTGTGTGTGTTTGTGTCCGCGTGTAAGTGTGTGTGTAGTCAGAACTGACCCGGGCAGCCCTCCGGCCTCCATCACATTTGCAAGTGTGACATCGTTTGACCAGACGTCATACTGCCACTTCCTCAGGCCCAGCACGCCACACAGCACCCGTCCTGTGTGCAGCCCCACCCGCATGTTCAGATCCACCTCTGTGGCCTCTACCACCGACCTGCAGGGAACACACAACACACTCACACACAGGCAACGCAAGTGTCATCTGCACTAAAGCTTAAAAAAGGCAGTGGTGCGCAAGAGGCGGGTCACCCTGGAACAGACAATGCATTTGCAATTCTACCATCTGTAAATATAAAGAGATTACATGTGAACATCTGTGCAGCTCTATTTCAGAAGTTATTCCTCAAGTGCACATCTATAGACAGGCCTCCTCTCTGACAATGTTTTAAACCAGGTTAAAGACGGTTCTGTTTAGCTGTGCATACAACTGAGGGATTTTATATTTTTATATATTATTATTATTTTTATTTTTTTTTATGTACTGTGATTACTTATGATTTTAATGCTTTCTTGTTTTGTTCAGCACTTTGAGTGGCCTTGTGTATGAATTGGAACTGGGTTCGAATCCCGGTCGGACCAGGGCCTTTCTGAGTGGAGTTTGCATGTTCTCCCCGTGTCTGCGTAGGTTTCCTCCGGGTACTCCGGTTTCCCCTACCACTAAAAATATGTCCAATAGTTCTAGGATGCGCCTCCTGTACCGGCGACCCCGCTCCCATCTCTGTGTGGAGTGAGAGATAAATGCCCATAATTAACAATTGTAAACCGCTTTGAGACTCTGATCTGCAGTGAAAAGGCGGTATATAAATAAAGATTACTTACTACTAATTGTGCTATACAAATAAACTTGCCTTGCCTTGCCTTGCCTTGCCTATAAATGTTTACTGCAGTTTAAATTTGATTCATTGTCATAAAAAATACATAGTTTTTCAAAGTTTCAATTAAATTAATATGAAATACCAGCTTGAGCCTCAACAAAAACCTCCTGATTTGATTTATTTTTTCTTCAATAATTTGACAGGGACATTCGAAGTCAACATAGAACAAAACAAGCTTGTAATGAATGTAAAAAAGAGTTTATAGCTGTTGCTAATTTTCAACTCCAGTCCCTGGGCCTTTCTACACTACATTAACATTTTCAATATTATCTTAAAAACGTACCTATATACACTGTTTAAATCATTTACACAACAATTTACAAACAGATAAATCATAAACACATTAATCTACAATACAAATAAGGCCTGACTTTAGATTTAGTTCAATTATTACTTAAGAATAAAATGAAGACCTGATTTGTCTCTATACATTCAGAAACGTCCTGTTCAAGAGCTGGTTTCATTATTGTGGTAAATGTTTGAGTCTGGAGGTGGAAGCAAATGGTTTCCTCTCTGTGGGAAATGATTGAGAATCCCTGATCCAGTTTTATGTCATGGCCTTGACACGTGGGTCTCAGAGGGCCATAGCAACAGTAATAGACTATTGAAAAGAAATTATCATACGATGCCAGCGAGGTGGGATTGTGCTGATGGGTTCTCTGGAGTATAGAGACAGGTGCTCATCAAAGAAGGAAATGTAACATATTACAGACGTTCCCCGATGAAGACCACGTGGGTCAAAAAGTGTCAAGGGTCCTGCTGGATTAAATGACTGTTAATCTTAGTCCGAGTGCCTCAAACTTTTTCATGAAACTCAGCAATACCTCACAAGTCACAGATCTCAAACACAACACTTGCAGTATTTCGGATCTACAGTTAATTGTAATCTTTTCAGTCTCTGTCGGAGGTCAACCACATCATGAAGAAGTCATGGTCAGTAGAAGTGCCGAGGCTGTGGCATGAGATGAGGCTTTGATAAATGTGTGTGTGTGTGTGTCATGTGACACACATGTGACATGTGAGGAGATATGAGCGCTGCTGTCAGCCTGAAGACAAGATGTGTCTCAGTGAGCGGCATCTGTATCAGTATATCCATCCACACACTGCAGCAAGACAAGCTGTAGCTGCGCCAACAAACTGTTCCACTTTGGGCCGAGGAAAATTCACTTAAAATACACTTCCTCTAGAACACTGTTGGTTCCGAGCCAGTGGGGGCGGGTCCCGGCTCAAAAAGGTCCATGAGCAAGTGCACTGACATACTGCAATCTCACTTCTTGCCGGTGGGGGTGTACCTGGAAAGAGAATTATCCAATGCTTTTGTATGACGTCTTCTTTCCTCTCGAAAACGTCTTTACAAGATGGTACAAAAGTGGCTCTTGGTCCAAAGCTAGGTTCCAGATGCTGTCAATGCTGAGGGGAGTATTTTTGTTGGGACCAGTCTAGTTTAGCCGCTGTGGACTTTTGACTGCACTTGGCTAACGCATGCGCAAATGCGTTTTTTTCAAAATTTTTGCTGCCCCATGGCCATTCTGAAACTGCCCACAGAAGCCAAAAGTGAAGGCACAATAGTTTCAATGGTGGAGATAGGCCTGACTACATCTGTTAATACTGTATTTACAGTCTATGTTCCCAGCCCAGCTGAAGGTGGGCCGATAAAGTTGTTTTGACAACACTATTTTGTGTCTTTGGGTGTGAACTGCACGTGTGTTGGTGTCTGTAGAACACATTTTATTTCTTAAGCGGATTACTAGATACGCAAGTAAAAAAGTTAAAACACAAGTTAAAAACAGTTAAAAGCTGCATGAACAGAGTATTGTGTAGTTATGATGTTTGTGAGTAGGCTTGTCTAAACAGATTATCTTGACTTTGATAATCTGAAAATCTGTAATCTGCTTCCTCCCAGTATAGGAGGTGGGTAGGGCAGATGAAATTTGACCATTATTTTACCTTTTTATTATTATGATTTAGTGCGTTTTTTGTATTCAATTACCCCCCATTTACAACAATTACTACTAATATTGTGATTCAAGACTTATTCATTAAATGATGGAACTGATCTCCCTTTGAGCTCCTTACCCCCGAGTACCTCCTGCTGCAGCTGCTGTGGGCGTGACTGCTCCTGCTGCTGGTTCCTGCTTAGCCTGCTCTCCTTCCATCACTCATCAGTGTAGTACTTGAGCCTGCGCATCTCACCAGTGTTCTGCCAGATTGAGTCTCCCACTATTTGTGTGCTATTTGTGGAATTCTTCAATCTGATTCTCATGCCAGTTGCCAAATATCATCCTCTCTGTTACTCACAGCTCCAGCTCCATCCTGCTCTACCTTCACACATATTCTAGTGGGAAATAAACCCTGTTAAGCCTTCATTTGTCAAGCTCCTTTTGGGTTCACCTATTGGACCGTTGTCATAACATACTGTCATAATGTGTATTCTGTATGAAGAAATTGACTTGTTTTGTTTTATTTGTATTATGGACCATGACTCTCACCCTGGCAGAGAGAAGTTTCACTGACAGACTAATCTACCCTTGATGTGTGAAGGAGAGGTTCCGCAGGTCTTTCCTTGCTGCTGCAATGAGGAATAACAACACTGCCGACCTGACATACTGTATGTGGAATGGTTTGAACTAATAATAATGGATCGGTTTTATATAGCGCTTTTTTGGACACTCAAAGACGCTTTTTGTAATTATTCTTTCACTCCATACATGGTGGTGATAAACTACTACTGTAGCCACAGCTGCCCTGGGGCACACTGACAGAAGCGAGGCAACCAGTATGTGCCATCGGCCCCTCCAACCACCACCAACCATTCATACACACACCAGACTCATTCTAGGCAATGGGGATAAAGTGTCTTGCCTAAGGACACAACGGCAGTTTGGCACTTTACAGCCGTAGCCGCCCAACTGTGGCTGGTGTTCCCAGAGGTTAAGGGTCTTGCCCAAGGACACAACGACAGTAACAGTGGGAGACGGGCTCAAACCCACGACCCTCTGGCTCAAAGGCCAATGCTCTACCAACTGAGCTACTGTCGCCTAATGTCAGAATGTGCATGAAACCACATGTGTCACTGTGACTTTAGTTTACTCATGTGTGCAATAATCATTTTAATTTTGTCAGAATGTGCAATATAGAACTACATGTGTCCACTCTCGCTTTACTCGGTCACTTTGTCCAGACCTTCATGGTGCTAGCATGTATACACACAACTATATATTTCTTGCACTAGAATATAAATAATCTCATACTTGCTTCTTTATTATGCTAAAGCAAGAGATTGTATTATTTTTGATTGTATTGTTCATTTATCTCACTCTAGTTTCCACTTCCGTATGTGGTGGCCCTCTGTCACATCTCTTAGCTTTTGCAGACACAAAAGTGAAAAAAAAAGTACACATAGGCAAAAGATAACAGGATACAGGGTGCTTGCACAAGTCTTGAAAGTCTTAATAAGTTGGTACAATCTCAACCAATGAAGTAGGCAGTAGGCACACAAGGATACAAGTACATAAAGTTACGGTCTTGGGAAAAAAAATATCAGTTTTTAAAAAGTCTGGAAAAAGTCTGGAATTTTAATTTGGAAAAAGAACAAGCACCCTGGCGACAGCATGTTGTGGTCTGCTTTGTTCAAGGCATCTTACTTTTACAACACACTTTCTCTTGGGACGATCAACATTTAATATGTATAAAATAGGAACAAACTCATCTTCAAGTTAGACTCAGAAAAAGTGTTTTGATAGTACTCCGGAAGGATTTTCTTTGGTGGTAATTCATGTGAAAATTATTGACAAAACACTGCCTCAGATTGTTTTATTAAAGGCGCTATACCCGTTTCTGCAATGTTTGAATGTTTAGCACCGCCCCCCAACTCGCTCACAGGCTTCTCATTTCCCCTACGCTCTCATAACACGGAGCCATCTAGTTTTATTTGCGATCTGATACGTATGCTAACATTAGCATTAGCGCAACTTGTAAGCTGTACAACAATCACTGATTAAATGGCACTAAAGCAATGCACTGCTAACACAATATATAAGTAAAAGAATACCATTAGTGTTACGTCCGGATGTATTAATTCAAACATTAGAATATATTCTAATATTTAATTATAATGTATTATACAGCTCCTCACAGCAGCAGCAGCACTCCATTGACTTGAATGCAATTCTTCCGATCATTTTTTCTTGATAACAGAACTCTCAAACCAATAATGACCGCAGCCCCAATGCAATCTCTGTTTGTAATTCAGGTGTGTAAAATACTCCCATTACTTTGCAAGTACAACAAGCTATCAGCGCCTGTCACTACATCGTGCAGTTTTTCTGCACACTTGTCTGTGTAGAGAAGCTAGCGGAGCTAGCCACGCTCAATAAACAAATACATATCTATCAATCAACACCATTAAACGTTAATCGGACAATACAGTATACATATACATCCTTAACAGACATGCACGGACAATTTCAGAATTTGCGTTCAACGTTTTCATGACAAAAATACTGTTTTAAAGTGACAAAAAGCGATCGCGAAAAACCCAGAAGTTACCATGAAACAGCTAGCTAGCTTAGCTGTTACCTGCCTAGCACGTCCCGGTGAAACCTTTGGGAGCTAACTATTTTATTTGCAGTCATTAAATACATTTCTAATTATAAGGGTTGTCTAATACTTGTTCGAATATATATATATTTTTAATTTTAGAATTATATTCGAATTTTGAAGTTGAAGCCCTGGTGTTCCGCAGCGCTGTAGAGGCTAGAGGACGCAGGCTGCTCGCTGCTCGTTCTGTGAGTGGAGGAGAACGTCCCGCTCAGACTCTACTCAGCACTTTTCACTGCCTGAATTTCATACACAGCTGAATCAATGACCTCAAGTTTTCAATTAAATTATGTAGTATGATACAACTTGTATGTAGTAAAAAGCATTTTTATGAAATACTTAGAAAAAAAATCGGGTATAGCTTCTTTAAGAGGAAGCCCCAAAACCCCGACCAGAGCACGCTCTGTTTTGTGACTTACGCAATTGTGTCAATCATGTCGAGGCCCATCTCCACACAGCAGTGAGCGTGGTCAGCTTTGGGCTGGGTCAGACCGGACACACAGTAATAACAGTCTCCCAAGATCTTTATTCTCCTGCAGTGGTTCTCCTGGGGAAAAAACAAAACAAGAAAGTCAGAAAAGCCGTTTTAATGTAATTTATTTTACAAACAAATGGAATGGATTTAAAGAATTTGATTGTACTAAATGATTGATGGGTAAAGACTGTAGCTCACTCCTGTTGTCATTGGCTTAAGTACTGCCTGCGCTGGAAGCATAACGACTGTGTTAGACTGGACTGGGTGAAACTGGACCAGACTGGACTACTGTATGCATGTTCAGGGGACGGTAAACAATGTCCTCTTGTATTTCAACTCAGCCTCTTTAATAAAACTCTCATTTGATTCATTTAAAATATGTCAAAGCACAAAGAAGCGCAGCCAGAGAATTCTATTTTTAGTTTTGCAAATTCGCAACCTTCCAGTATAATATGTTTGGAAATGTGTTCAGTTTTAATTGTGGTTCATGTGCAGTATCTTAAAGGTTTTATGGAGGATTTTCTCAAATTATAGGAAAGAACCGCCCTCTCCACTTTTTAAACTAAACTCTATGGGCTTATTTGACGTGCATGTATCATCAGAATGATTGACAATTGGGAGGACCAATAGTCTTGAAGTCTTGAAGTTTCAAAATAGAACATAAAATGTCTAAAACGTTCAAAAGAAAATCCCCTGAATAAAGTAACATTGCTTTAGTAAATGAGTGTGGCACAAATTCCAATCAGACTCTTAACACTAAAGCTGAAACGATTTATCAATTATTGCAATTTTTATAAGGCTAAAAAAGTGTGACAAAAGGCCAATAATTAGATTTTAAAAATCAGAATATATTTTATGTTTTTCATGTATCCAAACCCCTCTTCAGTCCATTAGTTGAACTAGTTGTATACATTAGTCACATGTTAAATAGTAATTGTTTATTTGTGACTCGGACCTGATCCTTTGATGGAATAAGCTTGTAACATAATATGTAACAAATAAGTTTGTAACATAATTTCAGATCCACATTTGATTCATAGATTCATTTTAGTAGAAACAAATGTATTACTTTCATGTAGTAAACCAATGAAATGTAAGTAGAGTTAGTGTTATCTTTCTATATGCCATGGTTTTACTTGAGCTTTGTCTAAGCCAAACTTTATACAAACATTATATCATAGCATCATAGCGGCGTTCAAAACAACTAATCGCCCTCTCAAAACAATGATTGCGAGATTCATCAACTATCAAAACAATCATTAGTTTCCAGAGGATCTTTCTCTGTGTAAGTTTTTTGCAGTAGAGCTGATAATAGAACAACATTCACATGGAAACAAGCAGAATACGTCTTTATGGAGATACAGGCTCACTCACAGAAAGATTAGATTTATTTTAGGCTTATTTCAGTGCTACAAAACCATCCGGAATCAAACAACAGCAATTTCATAGCATATACAGTATGTTTAGCCTGCCCAGGTACACTGTAGGGCTTTAAGGCAAGGCAAGTTTATTGGGATAGCACAATCTATACACAAGGCAACTAAAAGTAATGAACAAAACAAGATAGAGAGACAATCACACAGGGCATTATAACCATAAATAATCCCAGTTGTGTCCAGTCCCTGTGCTCCTCAGAGTCCGAGTTGATTCATATGGGACAAACATGTCACTGATGTACTTTGGTGCGATCCATGGAGAGACTTGTATCAAACAGAGCTGTTTTAAAGTCTATTCTCTGAGTCACAGGAAGCAGAGACCTGAGAACTGGACTAATGTGGTCTTAGGGTGTATTCAGACCTGAAAAGTCCTTTGCTCCGCTTGCTTGATCCGAATCAAAAGCGGACCAAACTTTTTTCTTTTGCTCCGGTTCGTATTCAGACTGTCCTTTTTTGCAAGTGAACTTTTTTATATAAACATATTGACACGTGTGACGATCGGCTCCTATTGGACAGTGAGAGCTCACGGAGGATAGACGCGGAACCGGCAGAAAACATTGAGGGCTCGCATACGTGCAGCATGTCTGCTCTGCCTCTGTTTGCTCTTTTTAGAGCAAAACCACCTTCAACATCAACAGCAGCTCATATGACACAGGCCAAACACGTTGTTTTAAATATTGGAACAGCGTCGGAGAATGCGTGAGGAGAAAGCCGAAGGAGACTCTGCGCTCCGTGTCCTGTCCCACACATGGATCTATTATAACCCTGTTCCACAACTTACTGACAGCAGCATCGTGGATAAACCATGGATCTATAATAACCACGGGACAAACAGACGCTGAGGATCAGGTAGGAACCAAAGAACACAATTCACTACATGATGCAGAATATTGCTCTTTGAGACGTGAGTCAAACACGTCAGGCTTTTAATAATGCGAATGGTTTGAAGATGCTGCCATTCATCAATGTATACTGTGAACAGTTTTAACTCCATAAGCCTGTTGCACAGCGTCTCCTCACTGCTCCAGGTCCGCACACGGCTCAGTGTTGTTGTGTAGCGTTAGCATCATAGTTAGCATCATAGTTAGCAGCATAGTTAGCATCATAGTTAGCCGCTGCATGGCTAATTCCTCAGTTTCTGTCTGCGGCTTGTTAAGCCCAAAAAATGCGCACGTATCTTGGAGTTGTGTCGGATCGACACCGGATGTATTCAGACCTGATTCGACTTGGACCAGAATTCGTTTGAAAGCGGACCGAGACCACCTCAAAAAGTGGGTCTCGGTTCGGTTCTTTGGTCCGGACCAGGATTCGTTTGTGTGTATTCAGACCTGCATAAAAGATTCGGATCAGAGTTCCAAACGAATCCTGGTTCGTTTAAAGTGGAGCAAATGTGCAGGTCTGAATATACCCTTACTTCCTGTTTCTAGTCAGTACCCGAGCCACAGAGTTTTGAATATACTGCAGTTGTTTTACTGCTTGTTTACTGCAGCCATTACTATAGTCTAACCTGTTTTATGTATGTACTTGTCTTGTGCACACTGGGGAATTTTGCAAATGTATTCCAATGTGGATTTACTGTAAATGGCAAATAGATGAATCTGACTGTGTATCTGGAGACAAATGCATGGATAAGAATCACCAAGAGTGCTTCAGACACTATGTTTTTAATTTTAGCAGTGTTTTTTTTAGGTGGTAAAAAGCTGTTGATGTTACTGATAACGAACTGGAATATCGGTCGGTTATCAAGGACTTAGTCGACTGGTGTGAGTGCAACCACTTGTGCTTGAACACCAGTAAGACCAAGGAGATGATCATCGACTTCAGGAGAAAACCACTTTCCCACGCGCTGCTGAACATCCAGGGGGAGGACATTGAGCTGGTGGACAGCTTCAAGTACCTGGGTGTTCACATCCACAATAAACTGGACTGGTCCCATAATACAAACGCCCTGTACAAGAAGAGCCAAAGTCGCCTCTTCCTTCTGAGGAGGCTGAGGTCCTTCGGACTTTTTATGACTCTGTGGTGGCTTCTGCCATTTACTACGCTGCCGTGTGCTGGGCCCCGGGCAGCACAGAGCGGGACAGAAACAGACTGAACAAGCTGGTCAGGAGGGCCAGCTCCACTCTGGGCTGCTCCCTGGACTTTGTGGAGGAGGTGAGGGACAGGAGGGTACTAGCCAAAGCCACCTCCATCATGAACAATACCTCCCACCCACTGCACAGGACTGTAGAGGAGCTGAGGAGCTCCTTCAGTGGAAGACTGAGACACCCTCAGTGTAGGAAGGAGCGCTACCGCCGGGCCTTTATCCCCACCGCTGTCAGACTGTACAATAAGTCACTTTAAATGATCACTGTGTGAAAACCTGCACTACTATTGACACTGTTTCCAATTGACACTTGTCACTTTTGTTGTACATAATTATTGTCACTTTTATTGTACATATATATCCTGCATGTTACATGTTTGCACATTTCCTCCTTTTGCGGAGTGTTTCTATCCATGCCAAATATGACATGTAAATTTCTCCTCTGTGAGATAAATAAAGCTTATCTTATCTTATCTTATCTTATGTGCCTCACTGTGTCTTGCCTCGCCATTTTTAATTCATTTTGTTGTTGTGTGTGTGCTTTGTGGTGTTGCTGCCCCCGGTGTCTCCTGTTTGAATTCCGATGTAGTGTATTCTGCAAATGGCAATAAATTGATTCTGAATCTGATTTGATGTGGCTATTAAAATCTAACTGTTCCTTTCCTGTCAAAAAAGCCATGTCTACTATTATTAACCGCATTCCAAGCCACACAACAAATCACCCAGTACAACATGATCTGTGATGAATTGTGTCACACTTTACACAGTTGCTGCTTCTTTGTTGTGTTAGTTTGTGTAAGTTTCCCTTGTTACCGGAGTTGTGCGTCCGCTCGGATCGGCACATTTCTTTGTGGGTTTGTTCTTGGGGCCAACTAATTACTCCGACATGCCGTTGAAGTAGAATCCCACCCACGTGTTCTCTGACAGATCCGCTATTTGTCACAGTGTACATTGTGCAGAAACAAAAAGATGCACCTGGACCACAGCGGTTTACTGGGGTTTATACTTTCATTTTTTAAACATACAGTATAAGGAAAGGGGAGAGATAGGATGGAAATAGATAGATAGAATGTCTAACTTTTTGGTTTCATAACCATCATCATCATTTTATAACAGAAAAGTCTTGTTCAAGTAACATTTTCTCAAAAATGCTGTCTTTATGTTTACATATACTGAGAGCTGTGAGAGGGCAACATACATGCATGTGAACATGATAGCCTGGTCTCATCCATGTGTAAACTCTGCTCCATCATCATTTTCTACATGTACTTCTGGGTCTGATCCTAGTGGCCACAGGAAGGGGAGGAGGGTGTGGTAGGTAGGTCTGTAATATCAAGAAATTGAAGGAGCAAGAAGAATGTTTAGTAAATGTCATTGCTGCAAAGATGTTGAGGCTCTACTCCTATTTTATCTGTTTATCAGTATTAGGATTTTGACTGTAGTCTGTTCATTGCTATTCACCCGTTGTCCCATTGTCTGTTTCATGGTACGATGACGGGATCTCTGAGCCTGGCCTCCTCCATCTACACCTGCGGACTGCCCTGCCCGACCCGCCTGGGAGTGCTTCAGTCCTGCACCGGACCTGTTCACGTTCTGTAGCTTAGGTCCTGGATCTATAGCCTGTCCGTCCGTGGGAGCGGATTCCTTTCTCAAACTGTGGGTCTCCCTGAGGTTTCTCACTTTTTTCT